TAATGGAAGCATGCCTTCCTTGGGTTCTTTTCCACATATTAAATTGTATTTATTTACCTGTATTTATAACTGTGCAATTTTTAAATATGTTTTAAAAATAAACTTTGTCTGTGGCTTCAAATATTTCAAAATCTCTTTTCAACCTGAAAAGGGTCTTGACTTCAATTACTTAAACTGAAAGGAGGGATCTAAGTCTCCAACTGAAAGGATTTTTTCAATGAGGTCTTCTATTCTATTGTTTACCAAGTGAACATGCTTCTCTGCTTAAAAATTAAGTCCAGAAGATGCTTTTGTTCTCATTTTTCCTAAATTCATTGTTTCTGTGAGGCAGAGATATTTTTAGAATTGATTTTTATTTCGACATGTTGACCAATTATACTTACAACTGGAATTTATACCAGCTGAGGCCTGCCCCAAAGGGTTCTGCACATACAGCTCATATGAGGAAAATGGCAAAAAGTAGATTTTTTCCCTGAAGACCATGCAATAATTAAAACAGAATAGTATCAAAAACCAACCTTTATGAAAAGCAAAGCCAACATGCAGTGACTGAAATCATTACTCAAGCAATTTCCCATACACCACCACAGGAATTTGCTCTCAGCATTTTTCAGTTCTGTCTTTCATGGGATGAGCTGAAAGTGCTGACAAAGATGATGTCATTCCTACTCTGTTTTTGCTGTGAGACACCAACATAAGCACAGACATGAGGGATAAAAACTCCTGTGAGCTGCTGTGGACAGAACAGCTGAGAGCCAACGAGGGGCTGTGACAGTGACAGCACAGGGCTATGGAAAAAGCCCTGGAAAAAGGACTCTCTCCATGGACATGTGGGCTACTCCAGAAAAACAAATAGAAGAACACAGCCATAATGTTTGCCTGCAGAAGGAAAGCTCTGTCAGAAAAAACAACTGGCTAAAACCTATGGCTTTAACCAGAACCTTTCACCAAGAAACAAAAGGGAACAGACACAAAAACTACAATAACCCTTAGGTTAGGACAAAATTCAGTGTGGGCTCTTGACACTGGTGTGTTTTGCTGGGAGATGTTAAGGCTAGTTTAGTTCTTTTTGCTCAAATGCACTGACAAAGCAGCAGCAGGAAAATCCTTTGGTTATTTTCTCCATAGGGAACCCAGATCAGGAACACAGCACTGACACAGGAACACAGTGGGGAAAAAAGCATCAGTACCAAATCCACATAGAAAACTACTCAAAAATCACTGGTCAAGAGATCTGAAAGCATAATCACCCACTCCAAACAGCTGCCAGTCATGCAGTAATTGTTTTCAATAATTTTATAGCATTTGTCCCACCATTGCTGTCAGTGCTGCCCTTATTTAGGTTAAGCTTGTAGTGCACCTGAGGGACACAGAGGGGCTGCTTCCCACTTCAGTGAGGGGGAGCAGAGGGTGGTAACTTGTCACTTATCCAATCCTGCCTCCCACAAACAGTCTGCAAAAGCTAGCAGGCACAAATCCTCTACAGGAAATTCCTGGAAATTCTGAACAGAGCTCTTAAGCTTGTACAGGGAGCCACCCTCCCACCTCTTCCAGTTGCCACAAGTGGTGTGAACAGCATGGCTTGAGTTGCCATGGTCACAAAGGACATCTGTGAAAGAAGAGAAACCAAAACAGCTCATTAGGTTTAGACTTCAGAAGCTGAACCATCTTTACATTTCTTACCACTCAACATGTCACATGTCCTCTACTTCTATGTCAAGAAGTGTCACTGAACCCAGCAGATTTACCTCTTACCTCTCCTCCTGTTGCTGGTCCCATGATCCTATAAAAAGTTGTCACCCCCCAGTTTTCTTTTTCAGCCTATTACATCTACCAGAGTCCCAAAAGTCACATTTCTATGTAAAGTCCTCACACGTGACGAAAACAGACTTCTTTACTGAGCAGCAGAAGAAATTTTTGAGTATGAGGAATTGCAGACCATGATAAAGCAGAAGTTTGGGGTGAAATGACAGCACTATTCCACACAAACATTGCCAACTCTTCTGATCAAAGAACATCAACAGGCCTAAAAGTTAAAAAGAAACAAACAAATATAACTTAAAACCTCTTTTCTATGTTTTGCCATGTTGTATATCCACTCAGGCTTGGGGATTTAACTTTTTTTTTTAAATCCACAGAAATGCCAGGAATCACAAGAAATCGAGACTCTCACAAACCTCTCTGTTCCCTACGCACAGGTTTTTTTAAGTAAAACACCAAATGTGACCACAAAGAGTGAGAGGCAGTATCAAAACACATTCTGTCTGTTCTCTTCAGTTCAGACAGGAATAAAGAAGCAATAATCACACAGTCACCAGATGTGAGAATATTTCTTTTTAATTTAAAACAGTTGCAACAATGTCATTCACAGCCTTTCTCATCTCAGACAAATACTCTCCAGAAAATTAACAGTGCTTCAGGCAAACAACTCTGAATGGTGCAAAGTAAACCAGGACAGACACTTCCAGGATACAACAGTAAAACCACTGAAGAGTGAGCAGAAATCAGACACCAATCTCAGCCATTAAGGTAGGAAGGGCTACAGGGAAAACAATAAAATATCCAGTTACATATTTTGCATAGACTTCCAATGCATGAAAACAGCAAAGAGGGTAAAAATGGCTGCTGCCAGGATGGAGAACAAAAGGAATCAGTTGGAGAAGTTTCTAAAGAAATCAAATGAGCTCTGGATGCATCCACATTCTGAATATGTGTTGGGACTTGGTGGAGGCTGCCTGAATCAAAGACCTGGGCTGATGTTGGTTTCACTTACACCAAAGTCAGTCAGAGGTAATGGCACTGAACCCAGGAGAGTTGCAAGTGATTGGAGTTCAGAAACATCTACTCATTTGAAAACCACAGCTCTGAATAAATTAATTTTTATCCTAATTATATTTTAGCTAGGAAGATTAAATAGGAGTTTGTGTCTACATTTGTTTTGGAAATTGGAAATTGCGACTCAGAATGAGGAGTCTACTGGATCCAGCACGCTGCTAGGAACGACAGGAGAAGAGGAAATCAAGGAAAAGTTACTGAGTTTTTCTTCCTTCCTATCTTTTAACCTAAATGTGTCATACAAAAAAGTAAAAGTAAGTCTGAGAAATAAGAGCATTATTTACTGCCAGGTCCTGGCTTGCCATGATTCTCGGGTTAGATTGTCTCAAACAGCTCACAGTGATTTTTCTTCCTCCATTCTTTTTAGTCAAGAAGCTCCCAGCTCAAGGAGACCCCAGCAGCTCCCCCAGAACCCAGACAGGGAGTGCCCAGGCTGTGCCCTGGTTTAACACATTCAGATTGCAGCAGGCACAGCCTGGCACATCAGCCATCTCTTCAGCACAGCCTGTTTGAGTGGGGCTTCTGCAATGCTGGAGTTAAAAAAAACCCCAAACCCACCAAAATTCCTCTCCCCTCCATTAGGCTGAGGAGTCAGGAGTTGACATCCTGCTCCTCCAGGAGGAGGATATTCTTCATGATGTTCTTCACACAAAACCCATCACAAAAGGGAGATGACTGAACCAGCCATTTGAAAAAAGGAGGGAGGCCACTGTTTTGGGAGAAAATAAAGTAATTCCTTAAGTACCTAACTGAAGAACTTCTAACATATTTTTAACTGCTACATTTTAGAAAACCTTAAATCCTTTCCCCTAAACTGCTCCCTGCACTCCTGACCAACTTTGGTTTGGCAGGTAAAACATGAAAGTGATGAACAGAAAAGAACTCCAGGATCTGAGCTGCTCCAATTCACTTACAATGGCCAGCCAAGGGCCCTCCCATTTTATGTGCTCAACATTTCTAAATAAAAAGGCAGCAGCCACCAGATCTTGGTAGATTCTAAATAGCCCTTTAAGTTCATGAGGCAAGAGGGAAGCTGTTGTGTTGAACTTCCTTGGAATATACATGAGAATTTAAAAAAAAAAATAAAAGTTAAAAGTTAAAGGAAGGGGGGGGAAGGCCTTTTCTCATTTTTCTACTACCAGAATGAAAAAACACACAGATATACAGAAGTTTTGCTCTTTCACTTTAAATAGAAGATGTATCACTGCATAATTTCCTGATCTCATTTTCAAACCTGTCACTTTCTGGTAAAGTCCTCAAATATCCAAAATCTGGAAGAAGGAAGGAAATTACTGGCAGCTTTTATTTCCTCCAGAACTGGTGGCTCAATAAGAACAAGGCAACTGAATCTCACACTCATTAATGTGCCAGGACACCACTAATGTGTCCATAAGAGCTGTAAGTGCAGGGAGCTTTCCCAGCAATTAGACACCTTTACACTCTACAGAATTATTGCACTGGAATTTCTCTCACAATCTTTTAAGATAAAAACCTGATTAAAATACCAACAGTGTTTTTTGGCTCTGTGTGAGGCTTTATGACCAGAGAGAGAATTATTTTTCCCCAGACACTGCAAAAACTAAAATGTCCTTCTCATAACCAGATATTTAATTTGGGTTCTCTTCTGTAATGTGTAGCTGCCTGAATTTTTCTATTAAAATTTGCAGGCACTAACCGCAGAGATAATGTAATAACACCTCTCAGGCTCTCTTGCACTCTGAAAAAAAGGATTTTTTTTTTGACTGCTGCAATTTCTTTTGAGGGCTTTGTAACATTGTACAAGGCAACTCCAGAAACAGCCTCTAAGCAGTGTCCAACACTGTGAACCTTTGGGTTTCTTTTCTTTTTTTGGAATCATGAAAGGTTTTGCACTCACCATTTTAATTTTTCTAGAATGAGTGTTTTCAAATATAATTTTAAAACCCACGTACATATTCTTATTCCTGCGAAAAACACTTAACTAACACACACACACACACAAAAAAAAAAAAAGGACAGGAAAGGCCAGCCCCTGCCTGCCCACCCCATCATCCCTGCCAGATATCAAATCCCTTTTAGAAGGTGTCTCTTGAAGAGATCAGATTACTGGTGCATTGGCAAGTTTAAAGCAAGCCAAAATATCAATTCAAGGGGGTTTTTATTGTTTGGGTTTTGTTCTTGTTGTTAGTTGTTTTGTTTTTTTAAGGGAGGAAGAGAGGGGTAAATCAATAAATCAGCAAACTTACTAAGCAATTTGCCCCACTCAAATATGAAAGTCAATATTTAAGCAATCTTTAGCAGAAAGCAGGATTGCACTGTGAGTACTTTGTCAGTGAGTTGATTCCAGATGGAATGAGTGGTCTAGAGACAAATTTCCCTGACATAAGTATATTGGGACATTAGACCCTTCTTTACCTCCTTCATAAGAAAACAAAATTTAAATAACAACCTTGCCTTTCCTGAGGGTGTGCATTTAATTTCATAGTCAGAAAGTCTTCTGCTTTTAGCCATCTGTAATCCTGAACTGTTGGAAGAACTTACAAAATGAACATTCAAGTGAAGATGAAGAAACCTATGCCTGCAAAAATAAAATTTTTCTTTGGCAAAAAACGTAGAGGGCACTGACAGGGGATTGCTCCTGTCTCCATTAGTCTGTTAGGCTTATGCCTGGAAAAGTCAAATCAAGATACTGTACCACTGAATTCCAACAGCTATAACTTCACTGGCTTTTCTCACTGCACTGAAAATAATCTCTGAAAGAAGACATTCTGCATTGAAGAACAGCCACAAACCCCCTCCCTTCAAATGATTTCTCTACATGATCTGGACTCTGGATGAAAACACAGGCTCCCAGTCACTAAAGACACAAATACTTGTTTGAGGTCTTCAAAGGATGCATGGACAGGACAGGCAGGAGCTGGGCTGAACTGTTTTTGCTCAACACTGAAGCTTCCATATTCTCCACACACTAGCTGCAAACTCCACCAGAAATCCACATGGCCTGTAAGGTGTATAAATTTAAAACAATGTCCTATACAGCACCTAATAGAAATCTTCCATCTAACACTTAAGGCGGCATCAAATGATTGTTTTTAAATACACTATAAACATCCCACCTTTTCCTTTGCTTTTTGGCAGTCCAAGGGTTAAGGGGTCTTTTGTTGGTTTTAGATTTTTATTGTATGCTTTTTTTTGGGCAAGTTAAAAAGGCTTATGGCTTCTTAAGGCCAGGTGATAGATTTGAGGCCTAACTTGGTATCCTGTGGTAAAAATAAATGTAGCCCAGGTCTTTGGGAGGTCGTTCTGAGGCACAGACTCTAAGGTCGTTGTAGATCACCCATCTGGAAGGAAAACAAGATTGATTACATTCCATGAGTATAAAAATCACCACAGGTTTATCAGGGACTTCTCAGTCCCAAAGAGTCTAAGTCAAAGAGTTTAAAATCTAAAATTAGGCATTGCAATGAGAACAAAGGATCAGAGAAACAGCAGAACCAGCTAGCAGAGTCAGGAATTGAAAAGGAGGAGGGATGTGCAGAGGCATGTGTAGTTACAACTCAAATGAAGGGAAATCAGGGATTCCTAATGTCAAATAATGGGAGCATATCAAAATCACAGCCAAGATCAGCACCACAGTACCAGCAACACTAGTGTCAGCCCATAGATCCATGGCTTTCTATTGATGGGCAACAAAAGGAAGCTGGGGAGGGCTCAGATAAATTAAGCCAGATACAGAACCAATGCCCCAGATTGAATAGAGATTTGGAATGGAAAGCACAGGAAAGCCAATAGTACATTTCACCACAGACTACCGTGGGATCAGAACTGACTCTGTGACAATTTTCATTTTGTTGGTGGGAAACCTACAGATGGTAACAGCCCATGTTGTCTGCCATGAGCACACCCTGCTCTGTACAGATGCTTCAAATGAAACATTTGCTCATCCCAGGTGACTCTCCCAGCTGCACTCACCTTCCTTCCTTTCTGAGGTGACAAACATAGTGGCCACTCATCGTGGATGTTCCCATGTGGCTGATGAACCCAAACAGCTCATATCCTGTTTTAAGAAATATAAATGGCACCCTAAGTTTTTTACTGCTACCACTGCAATATGACTCCACGGGAAATGTTCTTTTTAATACTGGAGAAGCAGCTAAGCAGTCCCAACTCAGACTCTGCATCCCCAAATTCAATTTCTGTTAACACTGCAGCATTACCCCAACTTAACTAGTGGCTCAGATTCACTGTCAAAACATCAGACCAATACAAATCAAAGCCACAGAGACCTGTGCACATACAGCAGGGCTGTGATGACAGACCCTACTAGGAAAGAAAACAGCAGATTCATTCCCAGTTGACAGAGAGCACCACAGGAAGTGCCAAACAGGGAGTTCATTCTGCACACAAATTAGGAATGTTTCTAATGTGATCACAGATCTCCTATAAATTCAAAACCAGAGAAGTTTCCATTTCAGCACACCATAAAAGAGAGGACAGGAAAGAAAGCTCTTCCTTTAACAAAGGGACAATTTTTATGCTTAAAATCTCTGGAGAACTCAGCACTGGTTCTTGATCCCCACCCATGAATGTCATTTACCTGATTTACCACTAAAAGTAAAAGAGACACACTCAGACACACTCGGGCACACCCGGGCACACTCGGGAACACTCGGGTACACCCAGGCACATCTGGGCACACCAAGGCACAACCTGACACACTCGGGCACACACGGAAACAGTCGGGCACACTTGGGCACACCCTGACACACACACACCTTCGGGCACACCCAGGCACACTCAGGGACAGCCAAGCACATCTGGGCACACCCAGGCACACTCAGACACACTTGGACACACTCGGGCACACTTGAAAACACTCAGACACACTCGGACACACCTAAGTACACTCAGGAACACTTGGGCACACTCAGGCACACTCTGAAACACTTGGAAACATTCGGGCACACCCGGGCACACCCAGGCACACTCAGCTTTCAGGCTATTGCATAAGGGCATGGACCTGGATTTTTCTGGTGAGGGCTTTCTGGAGCCATTTTACAGCATCATATTGGTTATCAGGATTTCAGGCATTCAGTAAAGGGTCTCAATGTACAAAGACCACCACAAAAAATAATTATTCGAATTATGTTTTTTTTTTAACCCAGTGATAATCGATGTTTCCCATGTCTCTAAAAGACTTATGGTTTATATTTATAAGTAGCAACCACAGACACAAAAATCAAATTGTCTGGTAATTTTTTTTCCCCTAAAACCTTTACATTCAAGATCAGAGGGAGAAGTTTAGAACATACTACAGTTATTATATCTAGTTACTAAAGACCCTTCAAAAAACTTTCTGTGACATCCTTAGCAGTGCCACTGAGCTTTTGTACTCCAGTGCTGTGACACCTCTAGGAGGTTCTTCTCAACTTTGCCTGCTGTACATTAGCCCCATCTTGTGGTTTATTTAGCAGCAGTATGACAGAGAATGTCAACCAAAAGACAACAAAACATGCATGACACCAACTATACCTGTGGTACTCTGAATAAGGAACATGGTTGAAGGGATTATCAAATCGGCCAGCAGACCACAGGAGGACAGAAACTCAGGTGGTCTGTAACAGCAGTGCTGTCTTTAGGATGCTCAGCCTCTGAAGATTTAAACATTCTAGCTTTTCTTTGTCTTTTCATCTTATAGCAGCAGAACAAAAAGTAAACCTAGGCCAAGAGAGACTTGTGTGCTGTGGTAGCAAGAAACTTTGGGCTCAGGTTATTCAGTGAGCTCAAGGAGAGAGTTTTCTGAGCAAACACAGCACACAGAACTCAGCAGCCCACAGAGCTGGATTCAGCTCCAGAAACAAGACTGGAAGTAAATTGTCTGGATCATGTCCAAAAAATCCCCACAATAACTACTTTCAAAACAGGAAGGAGCTCTATGAACGGGTGGGTGTGATGCAACAAATGACAGCCAGGTCTAAGCTGAAGCAGAACTTACTTCCAGGGCCGTCTTTGATCCTGGGTCCCTCAGACCCTGTCTCTGCAAGGATATTGGCATTAGCATTGTTCTCCATATCCACTGTGTCCAAGGCAGGGTCACTTTCCTCCTCAGGGTCAGGGTGGCTGAAGATCCACTCCAGTGCACGCTCCAAGTTATTGTTCTGCCAGTCAAACAATCAAAAGAGCAGCCTTTAATACACTCTCTAACATCACACTGCCACTCACCAGCCTTTGAACAGAGTAAGGATCATGTTTTCAGCACTTAAAAATTGTAAGATACCTCTACCTCCCTGGAAAATAGTATTCAGCAAGCACTCTGCAAAAGCTTGACATATGGAAAAGAAATAATCCCACAACTAAGACCTACAGCCCCAGGTTCTTATCTTGCAGACACACAGTCTCCAGGCATCCAGATTATTTTTTAACAGATAATTTTTCCTCACTGCCTACAACACTTTACCATTCCAGTGAAACACACAAACCCCTTCCCCACTCCAGAGAAGTCAGGCATCCCACACTTGGCCAGGACAGTTCCAGGCTCATCATCCACTAACTGGATTTTTGTACATGTTCCAAAGGCATCTGACCACACACACGCACAAAGAACATGAAACTAAACTCCAGTGCCACCAATAACCCATGAACTCACTGTTGCCTTCAGCGCCTGAATCGCCAGATTCCTTTGGAATCCCATGGAAATGATAATTGCAACCATCTCTTCAGGAGGCTGGTTATCTAGCCCTACAGCTCCTAAAGCAGCTGCCCCACTGGAAGCAACTTCTCCAAATGCAGGTGTGACCAGTGGCTCAGCAAAGTCTGGAACAAACAAACATTCACCAGTTACTTCTTTTGCCTCACTTAACTGGAAAGTCAACAACAAACACAAACAAACAACACACAGGACCTCAAAAGCAGTCCTGAAATCAATGTAAGTTCATTTCACTGGCATCTAAATTCAGACTTAGATGTGTGGAAAGCCTCAAAAACAACAAAGTGAATGTGCACGTCACAAAGTATCTAGGTGCACATGCTCATACTGAGCAGACTGGAATAACTTGGCACATTGCAGAAGTGAAACAACTGCAGGAAAGCAGCAAAGATTGGTATGGAAGCAATGATGGCATCAGGATAATAGACATCCCAGTGCATAGATGTAAAATGAACTGATTCCATATCTGAAAATGTCTGCTAAGCCCAAGTGAAACTCATTCCCCATTTACACAAGCAACACAAAAGCTCATGGTGAAGCGTGAACGCAACCAAATCTGGAGTTTCCTGGCAAGGGACTACTCGGATGCACTCAGTGCTGAATCACGAGTCCAAAGTTTGCATGGATGAAACACAGGAAGTGGAGAACATCTAGCAGCCCTATCCATCACTAGACAGCCCAAGTATGGCATGAATGCTCCAGCCTGAGCTAGAGAAGGCTGATATGGAAGAAAAGCATCCAGACCACAGGATTCTTTGTACTTACACTTGGAAATAAGTCAGCTTCCCCCTTAGCAGCACGGACCTAGCCAAAGGGTGGAAACAGAGCTGGCCCACACCAGTGGTGAGGACAGGACTTCTGGTGTAGCTTAGTTTGCTGTCTTCTTCTAGGCAGAGGATACCACATAATGGTCAAGATCTGCACATCCCAGGAGCAGCTTAGGAAAATTCACTCACACCTCCAGGTTTCCCAGGTGGGGAAGGGGGGCCGTTGTTTCTCTGTCACACATTATAAAATTTCTACTGACTGCCAAAATCCACAATCAGGAGCTGAGTCTAACTTACACCCTCCAGTCACTGACCTGGTTCTTCCATGTGTGCAATGATCCAGTTGAAAGCAACTTCAGCACCCAGGTTGCCTGTATAGTACACAGCTTTCCGACACGCTTCCAAAGGAAAGCCCATCTCTGCCAGCTGCATAACTGAAGACTCATCAATATCTAGGGCTACAAGAAAGGACCTTCTAAAATATAAAAGTCTAATTTCATCCACTGTATAATATTTTATTGTTACTCACAGTGCCATATATTACAGTACATATTGCTTGGATTTGGTTTAGTACTTCAATAAACTCTCAGCCATCAGAAAACAGCATTGTACAAAGCGTTACAGTAATTGTTATGGACTTACTGATAATCTTTTGTGCCAGTACGGACACAGATCCCCACATAGATCATTAAATCTTGATGAATTCCTACAGGACTTTATTTATTTTAAAATACCTCAGCACTGGATTTCAAGGGGTGAGGAAGTCAGGTGCTGAGCTCAGCTAGAGATGGCAGCCAAAACCAAGCACCTCTCAAAGGCAGGATCTTGCAGGTTAGAGAAGTAACAGCTGCCAGATCTGGCAGTCTCTGTATAACAAGGTCAGACAGCTTTATGTGAGATCAGAATGCAGAGGGAGCCAGGATCAAGTGGCTGTGACCCCCAGAGGTGCAAGATCCTCCTGAGGAGCAGCAGGCAGAGGAGCAGCTCACATTCTGTATTGATTCTATATCAACTCTCAATGACAGACATGCACACATGGAAGTAAACACTGAACAAGCACAGAAATCAGCTTTTATTTGGAAGCATGCAGGGCAAGGCTTCATGTGTCTCTATGAGGAGAGAGAAGCCATCAGCTGAGCAAAAATGTAACAATTTTTTAAGCAGTAGAAAAATGAGATACATACACTCCACGAAATGGTTCGCCATGTGATCTGAAAATCAACAATGGGGGAAAAAAACAGGGTAAAACAACTCAGTATTTTGAAACTCATAGAAATATTTAATCTCATGGAGACAGGGAAGTTTCATCCTTACTTCCCTGATGTTTTTGCTATGAATTAGAGCAGGGATATTTCTCTAACTCAGTTCAGAGCAAAGTGTCACTGATACTATAAACCAGTAGGAAAATAAAGCTGATGGCTGGTCTAAGCAAGAATCTTTAAAATAAAGTACCATCACCCATGTATTTACACTAAAACTAGGTCAGTCCATTCAGCAAGAGGATAAGAAGGTACAGGCCTTTGTGAGGAACTTACATAGATAAGGGACAGAATTAAAACCTTTGGAGAACTGAAGTTTGTCATATCCTTGCTCTGCACACAATTCCAGGCACTAGCTTTCTTTCACATACATACAGCATGGTATTGTAAATATTATTATAAATATCCAAGCAAAGAGAGCAGTTGCATTACTGGCTTCGTGTTAAATACTCACTCAAACTTCAGTCATCTGGGGGAAAGTGCAACCACCTGGGTCTAACGTCACACCATAAAAACATGATTTTACTTGCTATAAACTATTTTATTCTCCAGGGAAACCCAGGGAATAAAGGAGAAGGATATTTAATATTCTTGTTTCTGAACTTTAGCATAAAAGAAATAGTATTTAAGAAAAAAAAACAAACAAACCAGCACAACACTCCTCTTTTTTTCTGCTCCACAAACATTATAGTCAGCTGCTTGCCATCTTCTCCTTGAGACAGAGCTTTTTTTAGTGGGCTGTGCAGCTCTGTACATCCAGAGAAGAGGACTGTGCATGCAGGCACAGCTGCTAGGGCCTTACAATTCTTGTATTTTTAAAATGAATAAAATTTAGAGTCTTAGTCTATGCCTGGAAAGCTGTTCTTCTAAACTGTAGTCTTTTGTGTATCAAGTATTATTGTACTGTGCTGGACCTGGGAAGTGCACAGTGACTTTACTCCAAGGATGGATGACAAGCATAAAGCCATGACTTTACTCCATGGACAGGCACTGAAGGTTCTCTGGAGAGAGTCAAGGACAGCAACATCAATTATCAAACCTTCTAGGGAAAGGTCTCCCTACCCATGGCAAGGGGGTTGGAACTAGATGATCTTTAAGATCTCTTCCAACCTCAACCACTCTCTGATTCTTTAATAAATCCCCAAAACAGAAAAGCTGGAAGAACTAGGGTTGTCCAGCAGGGAGGGAAAAAAGGCTGTGGGGTGTTACACCAGTCTTCAATCACAGAAGTACAGAGCTGGGTTTTTGTTCATAGCTCCAAACAGTGAAGATTAAAGAGAATCCCTGTGTCCTAGAAGGAAAGGGAATGCAAGGGAGAGTAAGTCAGCAAATACCTTTTGGGTCATCGGGAATGACAATGGGAGGAGCAATGTCTGGGAGTTCCTCTTCTCCTGGCTGGAGCCCCCTGGCCCGAAGATGACTGATATCCAGGAAATCTGGCATGTCTATAGAAACATCTACAAAAGCAGAGAAATGGGATAAGCTTCTGCAGCCAGCAAAACAACCTTATGGTGCAACCTACCCCTTCAGAGAGGAGATTCTGGTACTCAAAGTACAGGAACAGCCAGGATTCTCCTTCTGAAAAGAGTTCTTCAAGAAATGTGGAACTTCAAAGCACAATTTAACTAGCTCAGATTACATGAAACTCTGTTTTAACACCACAGATCTGATGGGTTGGTTAAATTTGTTTTAAAAGGGAAGAAGATTCAATTAGGATCTTCACAGTACAAACTTAAGACTTGAGTCAGGTCCTCACTATAGTGTGCACATCTTATTAATTATCTCAGATAGAAAGGTAAGTAAAACAAGCACATACCAAGCTTTTTGGGTATCCAGTCAAGGCCAAAGGTGAATTTCTTTATCTGCACCACTAAGTACTCAGGAAAGGAAGCAAAACGGGAAGTCCTGGGAAGGACAAGAAACATAAATCATTGAAATCAGACAACAGAATCCCCAGCAGCACAGATCTCAGTTCCTCATGAACACTGAGATGAGCTATCACTGGTTGATACAAAGGATCCAACCTTACAAGCATTTAAAGTTCAAACTCTCAACAACCAGACTGCATCACTTCTTAGAGTCTGACCATTGAGAACGATTAATTTCCTGCTCAGTTCATCATTATAACTCTTGCAAGGCTTGATCTGCACATCACACTGATGAGCCCCAACACTAATGTGATGACTGAGCTCACTGTGCTTTTGTGTGTTTCTCTCTGCACCATGTCCAGGTAACAAGATAAGCACAGAGCACAGTTTTTAACAGGCAGCCAGACACACACTTACTTAACTCCTGCAGATTTTGCTTGAAGGGCACTGCTCCAGAAATCCTCTACGTTGCTTGGTTCAGAGAAGGCCTGCAGACATGCTCTAAATGGGATCTTGGCACGGACCAGCTCTGGCAGAGGTCTCCTTGCAGCTTCTGCTTCTCTCCTCTTCAATTCATAGGCAATTAATTCATCTGAGAAATATGCACAACACTAGAAGCTAATGAACATTGTCATGGTTATGTGTTCCTCATCAGGCTTATGTCTTCAAGTTTTAGAAATGCAAAAACCTAATTAGCAATAAAAGTTTTACATGCTTTTAACTAGACATCAAATCTTTTTGTCTGCACTGGGGTCAGGAGCTACACTCACAGCCACATCTCTAAGGTTTCTGTTCATGGTGAAAACACAGAACTGGAAATACCAGGACACAGGCAATGCAAACTTTGCCATGACAGCCAAAATCCTGTGTGAACAGTAATGCCACACACCCACTTTATCAGAGCTCAATCTGAGTTGGAAAGTCATTGCTGTCTATCTGTGTCATCTGAATTTTTAGACAGGCCAGGATTATGTATGATCTAGAAAAAGTCTTGACATTGGCAAGCTGAGCAGTGCCATATGGTAAATTCACAAACTAATCTGTCTCCTGAGTCATTACCTGGAAATAACATGTCCTTTTAAAAGCAACAGAATCATCACTGAAACTGATGAACAAAGAACGGAGAGTTCTCCTAAACTTCTTGTCCACTGCAAGGAGTTGTAGACTAGGTAAAAAGTAGGTAGAAATCTCTGCCTTGTGGTATTTCATAGGATGTCATCCGACAATCAAAATAGAACCTTCTGGTTTTAAAATACTTTAAATGTTCAGATTATGTAGGAATTCAGAGGCACATCCCCTTTCATGTTCTTGTGATGTCCCCTTCACTTCTACCTCAAGTATGCATTTATTATGTTATTCTGCAAGAATAACCACTGACTGCAGATGCAACCACAGCTTGTCAGTGCTGCCCTCCTGCTCCCAGGTCTTCAAGCCTCCTCGGCCATTTTCTCCTTTAAAAACAAGGATGCTTTTCACAGGCACAAGAAAAAAACACTCCTGCTTATTGAATCAACATCCAACACTTCATCCTCCTTCCCTCCTTCCCTCAAGCCCAGAACATCCAAATTGTGTATTTTAGATTTATAGACGACAAACTACCTTATACCCACCCCTATTCTCTATTTCCATATTAGATCTTATAATCTGCTACTAAAGAACAGAAAGCAGATTTGGATTTTTGGTTGTTTTGGTTTGGGTTTTTTTTTGTGAGTGTGTGTTTTAAAGGATATTCATTAGTATGTTCCGTTCTTTTTTTGTAACGAAGGAGCTTTCACAAACTGTTTCACTGTCCAGGACAAAGGAGATTCCGTGCTGGTGGGGATCTCTGAGCACAATGTGGCACACCCCTGGGTCAAGCAGAGCAGTTTGCTCCTTTACCTTTGTTTGTTGCTGCCTCCATGGCCACAGGTAACTGCATGATGTAGTCCACCCTCTCGGTGTAGCGCACCTTCCTGGACTGGCAGCACTGTGTGCGCTCCTCCACCAGGAACCGGAAAACATCACTGGGGTTTTCTGAACCCACAGGGTTCCTCTGAAAGGAGTATTACACCAAATCACTTCTGTGGCCATCATTTAAATGACCAGAAAACCCAGAGGCTGCTGGTTGCTTTAAGGCAAGCACAAAGACACTGATCTGGCAGCTCAGCTCACGCTGGATTATTTGCAGAGCTGTGGCACCTACAGAGAAAACCACTGAAGTCCACAATTGCTGCACCTTTCTATACACAGGAACTTGCAGGGTATGCACCCCAAGAATGAGACTGAGTCAAGGTGAACAGTAGGTAGGAAGCTGGCAAGTCACACTAAAGACAGAAAGTTCAGATAAATAACATGGAGCATCCTCTCAGCAAATAGAATTGTTCCTACCACTCTGAATATGCACTGAAACAGAACTTGTAGCTCATTATCCAGATGGGAATGTCATGCAAATAATATACCTCCTCTTTGTGGCTCATGTTAATGTCTGTTATCAGGCAAAAACCAGAAAAGTCTCTTCTAACCACCCTATAATCGTACATGCATTTAGGGATGTGGAACATTATGCATACAAATGTGAGTAACTTCATCTAGAGACTGAACACATGAACAAATAGCCTCGATTCTTGGGGAAAATGGGAAAACGAGGGAGGAAGGGTAAACAAGAAATGCTTTACATCAAAACTGCATGTATTTGTAAATTCCTTTTCAGAAAGACAGCATTAAAATTCACAGTATGATTCCTTTGCACACAGCACTGAGCTGGAGCTTGGTGGAACTAAAGCTTTATACAGAAATATTCAACTGACAAACAGCCACTCTGCTTTCAGCAGGGGAATCCTTCCTCCCATGATTCAATAACATACAGCTGGGATTTGTAAAACAGCTGGACAGGGTAATTAATTTGCTCCCAACAATTATATGAATTTGGAACAATAACAATAATAATCACAATACCCGATTCATTAATATTCCATGACACACTTCAATATGGTAAACACGAACAGCAATTTAAAGGGTCACATATCTTTATGAATCTTATTGCCTGCACAATGATGCTTGACCTCTTTATATTTTTTAGAAGCATCACTTGCCCTGTTCATGGTCATTCAAGAATCTGAAGTAAAGAAGAGGAAGAATTAAGGAAGCAAATGTTTCTACAACAAAATACATTTTATTTAGTCCCACCTTCTACATATCTAAGGCTAAAAATAATATAACTAAAAAATGAACCATTCATGTAACAGGTTTGCCTTCATTGTCTAATATAACCAGAAAAATAAGCTGCAATTCAGATTTTCTCACCTCTACTAGATTTATAAGATGTAGGAAAAATTCCTGTGCGTCTTGCTGTCTATTAGATGAAAATTCTGGGTGGCCTTTACTTATAAAAGCCTTGAACATTCGAGGAGATATTCCATTGTGTTGAGGCTAAATAAAAGAGAGGAAAACCTTTTTAAAAAGTGATTTTTATTCAATCATGGACCAAATATCTCAAAGTTGCTTCACTAAATCTATCTATGGCCCATTTCTGGCACTGGAGGAATGACAGTTTCCATTTCACATATTTTTCCATTTTAATAAAAATGGGAAGAGTCCTGAAACAAGATTTGGAGGGGTTTAGAATATGTTTTATGGCTTAGTTCCTACAGCACTCATTCTACCTGTCCTTTGGCAATTGGCATTTTAAAGAGATTACTGGAGGTTTTTAAAGGTTAGTAGTTTTCAGAAAGGCTGAAAGCCTACATTGTTATATAACATTTGATATTGCTTTCAGAACCCTGTGCCAGAATACTGAAGCACTTGGTGTATGAGCTGGCAGCTTTCCTCAGGACAAAACCTATCCAGAGAGCTGTGCAGAACCAAGCAGAGAACAGCTAATGTGTGCAGCATGCATTCCCAGGTGGGTTGTAAAGAGCAGACATGAATTTGCAATTTCCAGGTGTTGGTCATGTTGAAAAAACATAACTTACTGCCTTTGGCCATTTAGTTACATCAGGAGGAAACTGCCCTAAATTAGAAAATCTCTTCCTTCCAAGATAGTCCTGGTTTTTGCTTTCTAATCCTTTATACCACTTTAAGAATCTCTCCAACCATTCCAGATCCTCAAGACAACACTAGCTATTATGTCTTTTAAATAACATTTTGAAAGGGTCAGAATGTATTTCTCAGATTTGCCCTCACCATCCATGAAACCAAATAATTTTCTGGACAATCGAAGTAAAAGTATAATCTTTAGGAGCTCTCAGAGGCTGTTAAAACCTCAGCCAATCTAATTCCTTACTACACTTGCCCTGTCATATGAATATAAAAATAGAAAAAGGCAGCATGAAATGGAGGCCATAAAAAATAGACACTAGAAGAATAAATATTTTTCTTTCTTTTACCAGGGTGCAGTATTCTTAGACCCACTGAAATAAGAAGCAAATTCTCATTTTTAAATGCTTTTTCAATTTTTGGCAGTACACCACCAACCACATCAGGCCAAGATGATCCTTAAAGGCTCCCATCAAGAGACAGAGTCTCAGTATTGTTTGGACAGAGAGATCATCTCGGGATTTCTGCATCCTGGGTTATGTGTTCTTCAGTGTCCTCAACTGCCTTTCATCAAAACTAGGACTGGGAAGAAAAGTGCATAAAGCAGTTCACATTACAGCATCCCAGGCTTCTTCCTATGCCAGAAGCAAGAATGTGGCACACTTGCTCTGCTGTGTAATGCAGTCAGTTTGGAATCAAGCCTTGTTTCCACCTATACACTTTGTACTCGGCCACTTGAGCAGGAAGAAGAGAAACAAGTCAAGTGTGACAGTGTGCAAAAAAAGGACTGAATCTTGTAATGTCACCTCAAGCAGAATAAAAGAGAAAAAAAAAAAAAACAAAAACAACAAATCAGAAGAAATGTTAAAGCTTTAAGCAGAAAATCAAGCCCTGGCTGATGACCCTTCAGGCATTCAACCTCTTTTTAATCCTAAAGTGGATGCAAGAAAAATGCTGCCATTTCCAGGCTAAACTTCTGTGGTGAAAAATTTAAACTCCACAGAACCATGAATATTTGCAGAATACCTGGCATACTTTCCCCATCAACAGCTGCAAAACAGTTTAGCTAAATATAGACTGTGCTGGACCACTGCAGATCTCATATGAATGCTTTTACAGGCAACATCTCCCCAAAACTTAGGATGAATTCCAAAGGCTCAGAAAGATTGAGAACGTTGCATGTAGAAGGGGAAAAAAAGTAAAGGAATAAAAGTAAAATGAATAATTGATATTATAGACACAAAGTAGAAGCACTTCAAAACATTTAAGACTTAAAATGCTACACAAACAACAACAAAAAAAGCATCTTCAACTTGAAAAAATCATAGATTTGTATTCCAAGAGTGAAGGAATAGAGAAAATATCTATACCTGACTTTTTCTGTAAATAAATCATCAGTCCAACAAGCAAAAAAAGCTGTAAAAGCTGTTTCAAATCCTAATATATGCTATGAATTGCCTGATAATGCCTGATGAATGTAACTCCAGCTTCTTTAAACTGAACTAATGAACACAAGTACTGTTACATGCCAGTAGATGCCTACTACAAGCTGACAGAGTTTTATACCATCTGTCAATAAAGAGTTCTCAATACCTCATCAAATAGTGGCTGCTGAGCTAAACATGGTGGTGTAGCTTTATTCCAAAGATTCAGATCCTTGAACTTCCAGCACAGTATTTTCCAGTCACAACGTGTATGTGTTTAGGAAAGGAGGTCAGTCAGTAGACAAAATTCAACGTATGGAGTTTGCTGAAATCTGTCCCACTATTCCTTTGTCCCTGTGGAGCGCTGATTAGTCTTGAACTTTATTTAATGGGAACAAGCAGGACTCATTTGCTGTTCCAAAACAGTGAATTGCCACTGTACAAAGCAATAAGTTGGGAGACAAACCACTTCGAGATCATGCAAACTACTCTGTATCAGATGCTTTGTCTTACTGGCATTCTGATTTCAGGAGAAATTCCTATGTCAATAATTGATAGATGAAGGTAGAGGAAAATATCTATTTCTGTGACAACCACCACCATCCTCTGTGGCAGAAGTATACATTACTCCTGTGGCTCTGCATGGCTCCTCCATCTCCATGAAAGCCTCCAGCACCACCTAATCTTGCATTACCTAGACAGCTTCTCCTGAAATCAAGTGGAGTATTGTTAGACACTTACTGGAAACAATTCTTTAGCTCTTTAGACTTCTTTTAGAAATTTAAAGAGGGTTTAGATGTTTGGTTCCAGGACTCTCTGCATAACATTTTTGTTGTTGTTGTTCCCCAGAGAAGATAAACACTGGTTGCAAATTCTGTGAACATTTGCACTCATCAGTGGAGCAGCAGAGCACTTTATCAGCAGAACCAGTGCTTGCTTTGATGCACTGCACAAATAGTGCCTGACTAATTTATCCCTGACTTAGTAATCTGCACATTCCACCTTGCTAAGCATCCCATCCATGCTGGATCCTCAATGCCCAGCACCTGTTCCCTTTTCTCAGGATATCACTTTTACCTAGTTACCAGGCTGTACAAACTCAGGCAAATACCTTGTGTTCTTCTTTCATCACCTGCTCAATGAGCTCAGCTTTCATGGGTGGCTTAGAATATTGGCCTGAAAGGAGTCCATGTCCCAGTTTAGCCCTGTGAGGAAGAAAGTGGTGGGGTGGAAACAAACAGGTGAGAAAAACAGAAAAGAATACTTATTTCAAGCAACAAAAATGAAGTTTACTGCTTTTGACTCCTTGATGAACTATCGTTACCTGCAACTAAGTGGGCAAATCTCATTCTCCCATGTTCTCACTTCTGAGCTCATGAAAAGGTGTTCTTTTGCTCTGCCATTAAATCATTTAGATTCTATTTAACCTGACAAAGTAAATAACTGAGAAATGTCACTTACATCTGAGTGTTGAAATCTTGTGTTGGATCAAGAGGGGAGTAGTCAAATATTCGTGGAAGGTTTCCCACATACCTGGGCAGCAGGAACAAAGCAGAAACATTTAAATATTGCAGTTTAATGATTCAATCTACACCAATGAGTTCTTCCATCATGCAAAAATAATAGTAAAGAAATTAAGAAATGGACATTGAGGTTTTACTTGGAAGCTTCTAGCTATAAAGAATATGGCTGTGTTGTTCATCTGGAATTTATATTCTATTCCTTAATCTTGCAAAAGCTGCAGGATTCTGTTGGTCAAGACCTCAGAGCAGAGTTGAGAACCAGTGTACTTTCTACTCCCAACTAACATTACCAAGTAAATTCAGGTCTGTATCAGGACCAAAATATGTAAAAAGAATGTTTCTATTGAGCTTCACAAGAAAAGCAATTCTGGTAATACTAAGGGAAACATTGTTCAAGCCAGCCTGTTGGAAAGTGAAGCATTCAGCAGCACTCTCTGAGCATTGCTGCCCTTGAGCAGAGGAAAAAACAGGCTGGGTAGGTATGGCCATGGTGCTGGTCCCTCTCTCATCAAAGCTCTCCACTATTTTGATGACACTAAGTCCTCCAGGTAATTCCCAGGACCATGCTGTGGAAAATGATCTTCCTTAATAAAGTCCATTTTGATGTTTTTCAACAATGAAGGCAGAAGAGCTGGCACTTCATGAATCTACAGACTATACTCCATATGGCTAACAGAGAAAATAAACACAATTTTTCTCTCTCTTCTTCTCCAGAATGTAATTTCTAACATGAAAGCCAGGGAGGCGTTCCAAAATCTAAAAGCTTCACTTCCAGCACATACACTATTGCTGCTTTGGAAGGAAAGAGCACTCTAAATTTTATTTCAAACCATGGACGGCCCTTTATGAAAAGGCTTCTCTCCATGCAGTGATGTGTTCAGTTTTGACCAGTTGAGAGTATTTTGTCCATTTACACTCTTAATTATTCAGTGGAAGATTACATTTACACTATTCTTGTCATTTTTTTTTATTTCAATTAAAACGTGCCTCTGATAGCTCCCCCCCTCAGCCAGACCCACATGCAACAGGAGCAGCGTTTTTCACTAGCATGGATCAGAATCAACATGTTTGTGCCAGTTTTTGGCACAAATCACACTGGAGGACAGAATGACTCCTGCAGTGACACTGGCACTGGCCAGTACAAACCTCCTAACGTGATACTGATGATACCCAGGTGAACAGGGATATGTGCATCTGTATATAAAAAGCAAAGACTAAGACATCAAATTTATAAGGTGGCATATGATTTCCCAGCACTGAAGTTGAGACAGTAAGCTTTTATTTTGAAGACAGATTGGATTTTGTGTTCCAGCCTTTTCCAGAACAGACCAAAACAATCACTAAATCCTCCAAGCAGCCACTGAACTGACTGAAAGAAACCTGTTTGCAAATGAGACGAAAATTTAAGTAACATTTTTTCTTAGGAAAACCACAAATTGATGAATGCAGCACCTAGTGAAGAAGTTTGAAGATGTAGTTTGGAGCTACTTACGCTCGCTGGAACTCTGGGATGCTGAAAATGGCTTGCATGACAGCATTGAGGTAGCAGCTATTTCCCAGGTTCTTCATGCCAGTGTATCCTGGGCCATACATGGGCTTGAGCTTCATGCCAGCTTCCTGAATCACTTCCCATTCTGAGACTCTTGGCTTTATGTCATTATCTCTTAGCCCATTCTCTGTCTGAAAGCAACAAGATTTTCATCTTAGTCTCTTTTAACTTTTGCCACAATTATGCTGCTGCCATCATCACCACCAACTTTGTGAGCTATACTCCAAGAAAAGAAGAGCCAAATCAATGGGCAAGGGGAGGTAAATCCTGCATGTAGGGGAAGATGAGGGTCAGAAGGGCAGCAGTTTGTTCCTCCAATACACCCTTAGCTCTTTAGCACAGCCACGGGCTCTTTGAGTGCTCCCAGTCATGACCTCAGTCCCAGCTGGGAGCTTCACTTCTCTCAGGCCAGTGACCTCAAGCCTCAGCATCAAACACTGCATTTTTTCAGGTTCCCTATTCCATCTGTAATGGCCAGGAATAGCTGCTGCTGTAGAAGCTTCTCCTAACAAACAAACCACATGAAAAGCTGCAGATCCAAGAACTCTTCCCTTCTTTCAAACGGTAAAAGCCAATAATTTGTGACACTGAAGTTTCTACCCTTTACACTCAGCCTTCAGCCTGTAGGTGCAGGTCACTAGTGTCATTTACTGCTGGCACTACTTTGGCACTTCTCAAAGAATTGTACAGACCTTTGCAACAGTTAAGACTAGGTTTTCAAGGCTTCTGAGTAAAACAGGCTTTCCAGAATGATTTGGAGAAAATAAACTTTTTATTCATGATCCTGAAAAGGACATTAGTATACCAAAAATATTACTAGTATTATGAAGACTTCTGAAAACACAGTCTAACTCTTCTCTATTATTTCAATTATTATCATTTTCTCACCACTTGGACAATGAAATACACTTAACCAGTAGCAGGTTTGTTCCTTTCTAACATTTTCATGCTCTCCTGGTAGTGATAGTAGGTTATATGCTTGGATTAAAAACATAAAACCAAAAAACAACAAACCAAACCAAACAAACAACCAACACAACCACAAAAACCACTCTTGCCTTTATAACAATATCCTATTCTGATTTCTTACATCATTTAAAGAGAACTGAAATCAGCATCCACTAAGACACAAGTTATTAAAAGTACTTCTTTACTAATACAGACACACAGAGAATCTTTTTCCCCCAGTCCCCTTCTAGTATGTACCACCTTTGACTATGTTGTTTTCTAGACTTGAGAGAATTAATTTTCCTCATTTTCTAATGTATTTATTGACAAAACCTAAACTGAAATTTACATAAAGAACTTTCAGCTACTTTTTAACTTATCCATTGCTTAGCTTCTTTTTGCTCATGAATTGTACCTGTTTACACATGCAATAGGCTTTCCTTCACTCGCTGTAATTTAATATTCCAGAAATTCTTCTCTAATTGAATGAGGTTCTTCATCTTGAAGACAAATGGTACACAGGAAAACTGAAAAATGTAAACTAAAGACTACAAGATACCTCTTTCAGAAGGCAACTTCTGGATTTGAGAGCAATGATTCACTCAGGACTCAGACAATAATCCCCAAATTAGCTGGCTGAACTTCACAAAACTGAATACTGTCATAACAGTCTGAAGGAACCACAAACAAGCTACAGGTGTCGTTCTTCTCCTGTTTCTCTCCCACCCCCAAGTGAACAAACAAGTGAACAAGAAGCTAAATAAAAGATGGATTTCCTACCACTTGCATCTGCAGCATATCAATTCCAAAGTGTGCCAAATGTTTTGCTATGTGTGGATCTAAAACCGGCTCCTCTTCATCAAAGGAATAGACATCTGCAACAGCAGGGAGAAACCAGTGAGCCCCAGTATCAAATGTCATCCCTGCTCTTTGTTTACCAACATTGCATTCTCAGCACAGGGCTACCTAGACAAAATTCCCTGTTCATATTCTCCAAGTTTGGTTCTGGCCAGCAGAGAAGTGCACAGACATCCATACAACTCAGTAAATATCTTAACACTATCACTCAAGCACTCTCCTCAAAAGAAATTATATGCCTCCACAGAATTAAAATCTAAAAAAAAATATATATATAGGGATCATAGTATTTCCTCTTTCCAAAATAAGAAATTTGTAGGGAGAGCAAGGAACAGGAAAAGTTCTCAGATATGTAGCCAGCCCACATTTTGAACATGACAACAAGAGATTATGAATTTTTGTAGAGCTACTAGATGCAGATAGACCCGTTAAAGCTGTGAATAATCATACCAATTCACTATTGACAATAGCATTTTAATTTTTAGTACACTTTAAGAAATCCACTTCTGTCCTTTTCACACAGAGATGCAGGAAGAACAGAGAAATTCTTCATTAGAATAAAGAGGTTTTTTTTTGATTACACACCACTAGACTGGACTTCCAAGATTAATCTAATCTTGTTGTTAGGGAGAAAGGCTAATTTTCTGAGTAAGGTGTCTTGCTTTATTGTATGGGAGACTTAGATTTCAGTTCTCTGTGATAGGCCTTTATAGCCTTAAGTAAAAGCCCATGAACATTCTGGCAGGGCAAAGTTTAGACTGTGAAGGTAAGCAGTATGTCTAATGATGGTATTTTCAAATATGAAACCAAGATTAATAAATTCAAAAGAAGGACAAAAAAATTGAGAGTAAAAACATTCTTTTTTAGCATTTGCTTAGTAAGTCCTGTAATGACAGTGAGTTTAGAGCAGGTTTCACCTACTTGAACAAATAACAACAAAGCTGCAGGCATCCTACAAGGCTAGAAGTGATAAGACATGCACTTGTAACACTTGAATAGGCCTTCCATCTTTTCTCTGATCAGGTCTCCATCTCTGTAGTCAATGACTGCTTTGGTGTCTCCTCACACCAAAACCCAGAAGCCCTGTGCCATCTCCCTGCATTTCCCTCAGCAAAGTTTCCTTCATGCCCAGCAGTTTCTCACAGTGACCTTGCTCCATAAGACCAGACCCAGGCTGACAGAGACAGCTTAGCCAGGAGAAACAATCGCAGGAGGAGATAGCAGGAGCACAGATAAAGTCTGTTCAGAACACAAATATCACTTCTGGAAGGTCCTTACCCCAGTCCCTCCTGGCAGCTGCAGAGCCTGGCTCTAACTCAGCCCATCCCCTTTAACAAAAGGCATTCTCCTTGAAGTCTGCTAGTACCAAACCCACACTGAAATGACAGATTGAAGGTTAGCCAAGAACTCAAACACTAACTTTTAACATTGACCAGCCCTGTGGAAAACCTCTCTGAGCAGGGAGCTGTGCTTTGAGTTGTGCTGCCAGCTGCTGATCTCCCATCAGATGCCCCATAACATTGGTGCCCGTGACCTTTCTGGCATGTATGTGGCTGTAGCTGCCCATCTGCTGGAATTCCACTGTGTGGTAGCAAATGCACCCAGAAGACATGACTGCTCATCCACACACATGGCATCACAGCATTCCCATAGTATTCTGGTGAGGTCACAGCACAGCCAGAAAGATCCCGAAAAGTTCAAACACCTGATGGAGTGAGATTACACAGCAACTGAGCTTGGGTGACTGCTCTCAGTGTGGAAGCTTTTGATATTGTTTTCCCTCTACTCTCACAACTACAGAAAGCAAATAATCTGGGACTACTGGCCCAGAGCAGCAGAAATGGAACACAAGACTAATGTTCTGCTCAAACCCAGCTCATGGCATACTTCAGTACTTCCTGCTGGGAAGCTTAAGTTCATGGAGAAAGAATTCACTTGTTTCAAAAAATCAAAGACAGAAGATAAAGAGCTGCCAAATACAGGTCTGCAGTGCTGTCATACAGCAGCAGATGAGGAATGTAGATGAGTCAGCAAAGGTGACACACAAGGACCGGGTGTCATTAGAGTGAGAAAGGGGGAAAAGGGATGAGTGGAAAAGGGGAAAAAAACCCACCATGAAAAATCGGAGACATGCAAACAGAATATTATTAAACAGAGGAAAAATCAAGGGACCCATCAGTGTCATCCAGTCCAACTTCTGGCCCTGTGCAGGACACACAAAGAATCTCACCATGAGCTTGAGACTGTTGCCCTAATACATTTTGAACTCAGGCTTGGTTCTGTGAGCACTTCCCTGGAGATATTCTTCCAGTTCCCAACCATTCCCTGGGTGGAAATCCTTTTCCTGGTAATAGTCATTATGATTCATATTATTTTAAGAAAATAAAAATGTCAATGCTACTTGACTTCATTTTCTTCCATAGCTCAAGATATACACCTGTTCTGACTGTGTAGACATCTCTCCTTCCTACTTAGAGGGTAAAAGGTAATGGTAACACTGTCTCTAAAGAAAGAAGTGGCTCAAGATCCCCCCAAAATGTCTGACAACTGCTAAGATTAGCATTCACAAAGTAACTCCTTCAAGCACTGATCACAAGGGGTTTCCCATTGCCAGTTCCCAATTCCATGCCTCAATCTATTCCAAAAAAAGCAACCTCACAATGACTGGAAATAAAATCTAGTGGCACTGTCAAGAGAGGCAGCAGGTAGGACAGTCCACCCAGTGTTCAGCCTACTGAGGCAAACAACTTTTCTGACTCCCTGATGCATTCTGTCCAAGGTAAAAAGTGGAAGAGAAGCTTGGTTCAATTTCTGCCCTGACCCCAGATGTGTCTGCTGATAGAATGCTACAAAATAGGACTAATGCCTCAGAAACCTTTCATAGTGCACAGCACAGAATGCTCAGGGCAAGACAAAGAGCTCTCCTCTATGTACACACAGGGTGAGTGTCAGTGGAATACTGGCACCACCTCTTTTTCTCCTTCCTACTGGTGTGAAAAAAGGAATAAATTATTACTCCTGTACCATCACCTCTTCACCTTTAACCCAGGGAAGCAGAAAACAGACAGATTTTGTGTCACCATCAGCCACAGAGCCTCTTTCCTGAAGCTCATCTATCACCCAGCTCCATCGAGGGGTTATGAGTACTACAGAAACATAGATCAGAGAGAGAATAATTACTGAAAAGGAACAAGGAAGGTTGGGGGAGGGAAGACTTTTCTATAGGGAAACCAAGTAAACATCATCCAGAAGAACAAAGGTCTGTGGAGAACAGCTGGTGCCTCTCTTTCAGAGGGAGGGATGACAGCCTGTCCTTTGTTATCCCAAAGGCCACATAAGAGAGGAAGCAGCTGATCAGTGGGAGGCACAAGGACAGAAGCCATAAGGAAACAAGTATTGCTGCTAAAGATGGGAAAGAAAAGAAAAAAATTAAAAAAAAACCTCCCACTACAGAATATCCTGTTTGTTTTGTAGATGCAGTTGAAATCTACAGCTGGGCAAATCCTAAACACCTTCAATAACTGAGAGATTTGAACAGAAATTATCCAAGACCAGGCTTATGCAAGGAAGTAATATTCCATCTGGGGGAGAAAAAAATGTTTTTTGCTTAGTGTTTCTGTGGCACAGCTGGTTGAATCTGACTACAGTCGCCTTTCCTCAACACTGAATAGGACTTAGAAAAGCTCTCAACTGATGCTTGTTATAAAAACGGGCTGCTCTAAACAGCAATTTTTCATCTCTTAGTCATAAGCACTAAAGCCAAAATATAATCATGCTATGTGTTCTTCCATTTTTACTTCTCCATGCAGCTGCAACAAAAGATCTCTTTGCTTATGACTTTTTCAGCTCCTCATGTTTTTATTCCATCTAATCTTCACACACCATCATCTCCTCTGCAGCAACACCACAGAACACGACACTTGGAGAATATGCAAACAAGGATACAGCTACAGTTTTTTTCCCCCTCAAGATCATCACACATTTTACAAATGAGCATCACAGTAGCCCCATGAAGATGAGTGTTCATTAGACTGTTTCAGCAACATTTTGTTCAACGAGGAAAAACAGGAGTTTCCACTATGATTAAAAAACCCATACATGCTGTTACAATCAGACTTTTAAATTAAAAAAGCTCATTACCCTGTTATTGTTTCTTCATTATACAAAGTTGAGCCATTTGCCCTAGGAAATGTAGCAGAACTAAAAGATATTGTTCCTCCAGATTCTGTTGTTTTACACTAATACCATTCTTATGTTATAAGCCTAGTATTATGCAAACAGTCCAAAAATATTTATAGAAAATATAAAATGAAACAGGTATGGGCTTTCTCAGAATGGAGTGTGTGTCATTCCCCTCAACCCTGAGCAACATTCACAGACTCACAGAGCTTCCTTTCCCACTCTCAAACACTTGCACTAGAAGCACAAACCCAGGTGGTGATAGATACACCCTGTCAGTCTCATGCACGGAAGGTACCTCATCTCAGAACATGCCACGTGGCTACCTGCTCCATCAGGAGTGATGGTTCCCAGCTTCACTGCCAGGGGATAACCTGTCTCCTTGTAGTGCTCCATGGCATGCCCATTGCCCCCGCTGCCATCGAAGAACCACTTCCCACAGAGCACAGAGCCATCGGTCAGGTTCAGCCACAGGTTCTCCCGCAGGTCACACTTGGAGCACTTCCACCCACTGTGGGACAAAGCAGGGACAAACAGCAGGGATGTGTAAGGCAGGAGCCAGCATTTCTGTATTCTGTATTTCCCATTCTGGCAGGTCAAACCAACCCACACACCCAGCCCAGAGTCACACACGGGAAACGTGGGCTGAGCTCCTGCCCTTAGTTCAGTTACCCTGCACTGAATTAGAGAGTCTACATGAACAAACCTTATTGCCCTCACCTGGGAGGAATTCTAACACCATTGTCTAACTGTACAAGTGTTTTAGCATGTTTAGATGCCTGCAACTCTTCTTCCCAGGAGTCAGATTCCTGCTTCCTGTAGGGTGATTTTGCACTGAGGAGTGCATCACAAGCTATCGTCACCTGCAAGACAAATGTATGTCAGTCAAAGCCTTACAGGACTCAGTGACTGGACAGAACTTGGCATTCAGCCTATTGCTAACCACATACAGAACTGCTTATCAGTAGAGCTATTTATATAGTCAAATATGCATCTAATCTTTTAGACTGTCATCATTATTTTAGCAGGAGAGTAAGCACGTGTACTATGCGAGATTTTCAAGGACAAGTTGGCACCATAACAAGGGAAGGAATACAGGAGACAGGAGGAAATCCAAGAAACAAAGACAAAGAACACTTTTAAAAATGACTGACACTCTATTATAATTGGTAAAGAAAGATCTTTATGTCCAAACAAGCACTGCACATAAGAAAACGAGGCATCATCCTGATAAAAACAGAAATAGGAGACAATTCCTATGACCACTTCCATACACTCACTGACCAATGCTGGTAGCTCTTCTATGTTGGGTAATGAGATTTCATAGTGATCAGGAAAGATAATAAGTTTTGCTTCATCCTCATACTCAAAGTCATCACTGTTGAGATCACTGCTTATCTCCAGATCTGGAAAACAAGATGGGGAATGTTAGGAGATTATCCCATGATCAAGGTTCCAAAACTGTGACAGGGGTACCACTATAAATATTGCTTGCCTAGCATCAGCCAGTGGTTTCTCTGGCTAGAAATATTTGTGAAATTCTGATCTAAAATGAAATCTCACCATCCTGCAAGAGAATGTTCTGAGGACCAAAATCTCCACTTAATGCCATCCCAAATCACAGATGTAGCACATCTATGTGCTCTCTGCAAGCAGTGCACTGTTGCAGACATCACATTCTGCAAAGCAGCAAACAAAATTCTGCTCCTTTTGGACAAAATCAGGATGCAATACTCTGTGCCTTTTGGCCAGAATTTTAAAAGCTATAAAGCATGGAGACCAGGTCGCACTGCACATGCCCAAATTGCAGAGGACAAATAAAAAGAGCACCTCATATTTTCCAGATCACAGACCTGGCTGAAACATGCTGAGGCTCCCATTCACCCTGAACCTGTGGCCATTCCTCCCACAAAGATGTCCATGGCTGAAGTATTCCTGTGTCTCAACCATAGTCTCAAATAGCTACAGCAAGTACAGTGACATCAACAATATCCCTCTCTTGCTAACTCCACTCTTTAACCAGGGTAACTATCTGTTTAGAAAGCACTCATTAGCTACTAAAGCTTTCCTTTGAAGGTCAAGCCCTCCACAGTGTTTGTGTACATTTTTCTTCTGGTGCAAGAATGACTTCTTTTGTTAAAGATGAGCTTTGACCAAGCAACATCAGCTAAAATGTTTGCCCAGAAATATGTGGACCCAGAGAGAAGCAGGAGGGTATATTGGGAATTAAATGGCTAGTGTTTGTGTCTCTAGCTCCATGAAAAAATAGAATTATTAATTAATTATCATATAGTGACAAGACTGAGTTAAAATATTGTTCTGTTCTTCCTAGGACAGATGAAAAAGTTAAGACCAAACATGCACATGTCAGAAATTTTACAAGATTCAACTGCAAGAATTGCCCAGACAACTATGGCATTATATGGATCCTTCTCCCATCTGGACATGTGGGATCCACTGTATTCTGACGTACCAGTCACTGACAGAATAAGGTCCAACCAAAAAAAGAGATGTGTTAGCAGTAGCCAAAGTTAATTTTCCCCCTAGTACAAGCAGATGCTTAATGAGTCACTCAATCCTAAATGAGCATTGGCAACAACCACTGCACCCTGGGAATGCCTAAAATCTCGAATGTACGTTTGGGAGAGAGGTGAGGATGACAGAAGCCAGATTCAGAAAACTGAGCCCTCTATTTACCCAGTGAGCAGTAACAGACTGAGCAACCCAAATGATAAAACAAGTATCAGAATATATTTTAATTTGACCTGGAGAGAACAGCTCTTGAGAAGAACATCAACTCTTGGCTCACCTGCTGCACCAGGCAGTCCAGAGGTGACAACACCCACTGTCAGTGACTTCAGCAGCATGAACTCTCCCCCACCAGCAACCAAAAAAGGTCCTTTCTCATCAGCTCAACATAGACACAAAAGCAAGAACATTTTCTCATATTGAAAGCATGACATTTTCAGAGAATGTACTAATTCATTACTAATTCCCCAAATCACACCATTTTCATAATGATCCCTCACTTTACTCCAGGCTTCTTTCTCAGTGTTACAGTCCTGTGTTTGATACAGGAGTGAATCTCCACAGATGCAGTTTTTAACAGCTGTTCTGCTCTGTGGAACAAGGAAACTCAGTATCTCCAAGCTGGTGGTGCATACAGCAACATATCACAGGGAATCTTCACTTAATGCCAGAAATTTGATGGTGGCCAGAACAACAAAACCGAAAGTACTGACCAGTTCCTAAACAGGAGAGAGGTTCCTCAGAGAGGATAAAAGCTCAGTGTGTGCTCAGGCAGGTTTGGAGGCAGTGAAAGCTCGTGCAGGGCTGTGGTCACACAGTGCCTCAGCCACCAGAGGGAACCTGGCACCAGCTCACAGCAGTCACGGGAGATGGGGACATGTGTGAGACCCACTGATCTTCGCTGCCCTGTGCTATGGACATCAATTTAAACACCTGCAACCCCCTTAGAGAAACAGCAATCATATGGCTGCCTGTGTTCAAAATTCAGACACACACTGCAGCTCATCTCCCAAGCCAGACAGCAGCCAAACCATAGAGACTTTAGTGCTGCTAAAGGCCTGACCTTCATCTGAACCAGTGATCCAGGGATGAAAGACAGAATATCCTATTAGCAATCTGCTATCATCTAAGGACTTCACATGCTTAGGAGCTCCAGCCTCCTGTGTGCAATGGGCAGGGAAGGGAATTTCCTTTTTACCCCTCAGGCTTCATGGCATTCCTATCAGCAGAAAAGCATCCCATCAGCATGGGACTCTTCTTGCCTGACACACCAACATGGCAGCATCCCACTTGGTATTTTAAAGAAGGATGTACAAAGCTTCATAACTGTCCTGGGAAACACCACGAGGATTTAAAATTCCCCTTTTGAAGGGGACCATCTAAAACTGGTACACTTCCACCCAACACCTACTCCCTCTGACCAGGAATTAAAAGGCACTGCCTTTTCACTCTGAAGACAGTTTCTCAGGGTCCAGACCCAGTACATAAGAGTGAAATGGACTTCTAAGGTCACAGACTGAAATCCCTCCATACAGAGCAGGTGACCATATAAACTAATCCCTTTTAGGGACACTCAGAGGGACCCCTTAATGATGTCAGTTGAAAACACCCAGCACACCACTCATATTTTTATATCTTGGCTTCTGTGTGCTGAGAGACATAGCTGTTAAATTTAGTAAGAAATTGTACCTGCATTTTATTTTCTGTGCCTGTGCAAGAGCCAGCAAGGCTAAGAAAGCATGAGAGCAGAAATAATAAAAACAGATGACTGTGACTTTAGAAGGCAATGGAGCCCACACTAAATGTGGACAGAATTTGACCCTGAAGCCACTGGGCATCATGTGAAGTCTGCAGGTAGCTTCTAGTGCAGAATTTTGGGGAGGACTGAAACTAACTACAGGAAAGAGGAGAAGGATGAAATCTACATGCAAAAGGAGCATATTTGATTAAAAATTACCATGAAAGACACTGAAAAGCATGAACTTTCAAGCACTATACTTCGTCCAAAGTTGTTTCTTGACCAAGGATGTTCTTCCAAGATGCACTGTGAGTAGAAGGGGGAAAAAAGGCTTTGCTCAGTTCTGAGACTGAGCTACAAGACAACCAGCCAGTCTGCAATCCTTCCAAGGAGTGACAGCTTGATGGTCAACCTCCATAGGATGTTGTTTTCCTTCCAGTGGAGTAACACCTTTCTGATGCCTCCTGAGGGCCTCAGCTCAGCTCTTTGACCACCAAAACAAGGAATGCACAGGTTGTAAGAGTTGTTTTGGGAGGCCAGGCAGAGCACAGCAGCAGACACCTCAAAGCAGAGGCTCAACTGAGGCTGTTATTTTGGGAGAGTGGTCAGTAGAGTAAATTTACTGCACCTCACTGAGTGAGGCTGAGAATGCACTGCTGCTGGACTGACTGAAAACAGCAGCTGGGAGAGACACTACTGTAATGAAACCAACCCAGCAGAGGGGAAGAGAAGGAGTGGATGTGTCCAGATCAGATTTAGACAAGTTACCAACTGACTGCACTAATAATAGGGGCATAAAAGACTCCAGACAGGACCCCCAAACAGGATTTCCTGCACATATGGACGTGTCTGTTTGTGTGTGAAAGGGAATACAAACATGAAAATTGAATGAGGATGTTGACTAGCAAGTCTACAACTAATTTTGAAACCCTAGAAAGACATCTTAGGAATCTGGGCTTGATCCTGCTCTCGCTGAAAGCAATGGACAAATTTGTATTGACGTGGAAGTGGAGATCTGGGTCTTTAAATCAAATTATTTCTTCCTGAAGCCTCTAAATAATAGCGAATTGAAGCAGCAGCACTTTGCAAACTATAAGCCACTCAGTTAATTTGTTTTCAGGCACATACAAAATATTAACTTCATCAGATGAATTATAAAACTGAAGAATTTTTTTAAAAATGTTACTTTCCAGTCATAACGTTTTCCTTTGCAGAAAAATGAAAAGCAAAGCTTATCATTCGGCTGATTCAGTACTTGTAAAAGAATATTCAGATTGCTTGCTACATCTCCAAAGCATTTTATGTTGCTCCTATTGCTAGGTAAGACCTCATCCCTTGCAATTTTGGCAGTCACATGTTAAACAAGAAAAACCAAACCATGAAAATTCAAATTCAGAACTGTTTTGACAGCAACATTAGCCTGCTTAGTTAACCTAGTCTAATTTTCACAGTTCTACCCAAATCAGCAAACTATTAAGACTCTGTTAGTGTAAGGTATCTGCTCACCATCCTATACTCAATTCAAGCATACATGGAAAGCTAAAAAGCAACAGCTAATCAGTTCTAGTGCTGCTGCTGGGGAATATGCACTATTTTACTGGGCTAAATTGCAAAAATATTGTCAAGAAGTTCTTAAATTATCCTACATCACAATTTTTCATTCATAGATACAGATTATTTCTTCTTACTCATATAAATACAAACTTTAACCTCTCATGGTAAAAGCCCTCTTCAGAAGCTCTCCAAACAAAAACATCCTTACTGCAAACAGAGTTCTGCTCCTGCCTACCAGACCTGAGAGAACAAAGTGAAACTGTGGTCAAATCCAGTACAGCCACTCTTAGGAGTGGTCTTTACACTTGGAAACAGTAGCCATATGTCCATCCACTGCCATCAGCAGGGAGGTGACATCCAGGAAAAGCTCAGCAAGTTTACAAGTTCTCCCAGACTCTCCAAGTGGAAGTTTTCCTTTCCAAGGCTTCCTGAAACCTGCTGTGTGTCACAGATACTCTCCTCAGCAGCAATCACAGACCTGCTGACAGAGCTGATCATCTGAGGACTTCAAAACACTTTTAATTGATGGTCTGAGTTAGCCCTGACTTTGCTCAAAACAGAGCTGCCACAGGTTGCTGCACTGGCAGATGATGCTCTGGTAACCAGTGTGAGACAGCACATCTGTCTAGGGACAAGTTTTATGACACTCACTCTGCCAGCTCTGTATACCCGAGAGTCCAGACTCTGGCATGGATCAACAGATGCTGAGGAAGAAGGCACCAGAACCAGGCAAATATGGGGTGATTCCTCCCTCAATGCAGAGTTCAAATATCTACCTGAGGTGTTTTGTTTGCTGGGGGTGAGGGGGAATGGCGTTTGCTGGTTGGTTTCTGAGAAAGAAACAGGGGGAGATACTGTGCATAGATACAATTTCGCTATTCAAAAGAGGTCAGCTTCCTATTTATAAAGCAAAATTACAAAGAACAAAATATAAAGTGTTGCTTTACTGGTGTTCCACTTCAATCTCCCACTGCTGCTGACAACTGAGCTGACATTTCAGAGAACTGTTCACCCCATTTCTCAGAACCACCTCTCTGAGCAGCAACAGGTAACTTGGACCACATCCCTGTCCACACACAGTCCAAGCACCTCTCTTGTGTTCTTTGCATCTTTCAACTACTTCATCTGTTGTTTAGTTACTCAGTAACACCTTAAAAATCACTTTTAGATTTAATCTCTTAGGTAATTATAAATCAACCAGCAAACTGTTTCTTCAGTTTTCAATCTCTTTCCAGACCACTTACATTGCATTAATTCTTCATAATTAGAACATTCTGAAAGACTCTGCTGATAACTCCTGAGATAACATGCTCAGGGGGACTCTGCTGGTAACTACGGTAAAAACGTGACCTCCAATCCCTTCAGCACAAGCATCTTCCCCCTAATTCTGCTACCCCTTCTGACCAGAAGTTCATAAGGATAATCACAGTACACCAAAGGCACTGAATAAAACAATGTGCTTTAAATATCACCCCAAATTCCCTGAAACATTGCACAGCTTGAGCTGAAGCTGTCATGTCCACACTGTCTGGCAACATCTAAACTAGCCAGATTAAAGGCAGTTCATACATTTCAATAAACAATGCTGTTATGCTTCCTGATTACACAGAACACTCACAGCAAACACCTTCCATCCTTCTCCAAAGAAAACCAAACCAAAACATGCAAAGAACCTGATGCACATGCACACACACTTTGCTATGAATCTTTCCATGTTTAGTGAAAGATAAATATTGCAGCTGAGTGGTCAAAGCAGCCTGTGTTTCTATTGCATTTATTAGACAGCAACAGTGCCAGAGAGTAATCAGTGAGCATCCAAAAGATGTTTTCCTAATACTAAGGAGATTGAGAAGGGTTTAGTATCTTTAATAGTTTTACATCAAAGAGGATTATAACAAGCAATGTAACAAATGCCCAAACTGGATTGACTTTGTACACAAAGCTTAAATCTCTGGCCTTCAGGGAATTATTGATGGACATACAGGAACACAGGGATGGTGGAGCTAGCCACTGATCCTTGTCTGGTTTTGTCTGCCAGGGCAAGCCCTACCTGGCAGGTCACATACCTGGGCTTCATCAGCCAGGATAAACTAACCATGAGCCAGCAACGTGCCCTTGTGTCCTCTAAGAAGGCCAGTGGTATCCTGGGGGAATTAAGAACAGTGTGGCCAGCAGATCAAGGAGATCATCCTCCTCCTCCTCTACTCTGCCCTGGGGGGGCTACACACCTGGAGAATTGCATCCAGTTCTGGGCTCTCCAGTCCAAGAAAGACAAGAACTGATGGAGAGGGTCCAGTGGAGGGTACAAAGATAATTAGGGGACAGAAGCATCTCTCTTATGGGGACAAGCTGGGCCTGTTCAGCCTGGAAAAGAGATTGAGAGGGGATCTTATCAGTACACACAAATATCTTAGGGCAGGTGTCAAGAGGATGGGGCCAGATTCTTTCTAGCAGTGCCCAGTAACAGGAAAAGGCACAGCAGGCACAAACTGAAACACAGAAAGTTATATCTAAGTATGAGGAAAAGCTTCCTTCCTTTGAAAGTGACAGAGCACTGGAACAGGCTGCCAGGACAGCTTGTGGAATGCCCTTCTCTGGAGATATTAAAAATATGCCTGGATAGGATCATGTGCAGCCTGTTCTACATGAACCTGCTCCGGCAGGGGATTGGACTTGATGATCTCCAGAGGTCCCTTCCAAGCCCAACCATCCCGTGATAGGTTCCCAAGGTCACAACAAGAAAGACAGAATTAAAACAACCTGTTTAGATGAGATCAGCAGTTCTGAACTGATGAAAAACATGTTGGATTAAAAGATAAGACACGAAATTTTGCTAAACACCTTTGGTACTGTCACATGCAAAATGATCTAATCAGCTACCTCTCTGTGCTTTTGTTTCCTCAGCTATGAACAGGACAGGAAAAATTCTTTGCTCTTTGCTTCAAGCATGACCAAAACCAGTAACATGTGCTGATCCAAAGAAGTGGACACAAAGCATTTGGAAGCATGGAAATACTACCTCCAGGAACAGAGTAGACTTGTTACCAGTTTACTCCCAGCCAGCAGGGGCTGCAGTGAAGACTGCAGTAAAACAACATACCAGATGAGATACATTTTCAAAAGAGCATTAGATTCCAGAAGTGCTAGATTAAATGGTGATAGATCCATGTCCTAAACCCACCTCAGTGAAACTGCACTGCCCTCAGGAGTTCCCTTGGAACTGCTGCTCAAGACCTACTCAGAGGGAACAAAATGCTCATGCACAAGGGTGGAATTTGAGGATTTCAACGTGGCATATCAGAGACACTTTGCCAGCACCCTGTGTGCTGGCACACCTCAGTGACAGGAGCCTTCAGATGCATGCAGAAGACCAGCAAGAACAAAATTTGAATGTGCTTTTGTACTTTGTATTTACACTCACATTGCTAATGCTGTACAAGCACAGCTGCACTGCAGCCAGCTTTGTTTGTGAACCAACTATTTTATAAGCCTCCAGTGACAATCATGATTTTCAATGTAAACTGGCAGTAAATGGCATTTAAAGCAGCATTTGTGATGTAACAGTCTCTGCCTACAAGTTTAACTTAATTTTTATTCTTTTTTCTTTCTCAGCCCTCCTTGCAAGATTTACTTACATTAACAACAACAATTTAATCAAACACAATCTGCAATCTTAGGGACACATTCCATAGATCAAAGCAATTCCAACAGAAGGTCATTCTATTGTTTCTCTTTAGCCATAAGAATTGGCAATTGTAAAGAAAACATTTCACCTTTTCGTTACCTGAAGAAAAATTCACTATTCACTCTTAATACTGAGACAATAAATAATGGATGAATTGGAGAAATACCACAAGCTGTGGGAGAAGAGAGATTACAGGCTTTTCATCACATTCTCCTCATCCATATTTATGAGTCCCTCAGGTTTTCTGGGTAATCTGAATAAATGGATTTTGGATGATATGGGCACGGTAAGAAAACTGCTTTCCATGAAGCAAGGGAATAGAACTGTGGACATAACAGAATTAGAGATTCTCATGATGTATGTGCAGTTGCATTCATTACAGGAGAGACCACAACACCACTGAAGAACATTTACCTGTGTAACAAGTTTAAAATGGTAACAACCCTTCCTATGACCAGCTGCTGAGCAGAACAGAGCCACGCTGAGGCCCGAATATATCTAAACATTAAGTATGGGTCAACATTCTAATAAAGGAGTGCTTTGTGAAAATTACAGAGAGAGAAGGGACAAAATTAGTAAAAAAGTGCCTTTCAAAGCCTAGGCTGTTTCAGAGTACTTAAGGATCTATTTTACACTGAAACGTTTCATGTATATTTACACACATTTCCCAATATGCACAAAAATGGTTAAGAATTACTTATTTGCTTGGAAAAACTTTAAAAGCTATAACCGAAAGTTAAAAAGCAAACCAAAACAAACAGCAGGAAAAGAAAACCCAAAAGGAGCCCCAAAGCCAGACACAATGGTGGGCAGAACCCAAGTCCACATGCAGACAGGGTCAGAAAAGGACTGTGTGAAAGCAGCTGCTCACAATACCTAAAAATAGCTTAGCATTCCTCCTTTTTGGTAAAGCTCCACCAGATGCTCCTGGTACCTTCTGGAAAGAGAGAAAGAAACAATTAAAAATGCATCAAGTGAGACAACAGTAAATCTGCATTAACCCCTCCTATCAAATCACAGTCTTTGATGAGCAAGAATGCAAACACTCTCTGCTCACCTCTGGCACTGGGGCTCATCCCTGTCTACCCCCATGGAGTGAGGGATCCTCCACCTGAGCCCTTCCCTTTTGGCTGGCCAGCAATTGATCAGTGTCTCACAGCCACCATGGGTGACAGCTGTTCTGTCACCAAGACACAGACACCCAGCACCTCTCAAAACTCTCTCCACTAGATCCATAACAGTACTTCTTAATGACTAAAAGCTGAATTAGAGAGAAGAAAAGGCTATTATCTGCATAAAGGATTCAACCCTTCATAACTAATTCCAGTAGGACCACTTTGCTTTGATCTGTTAGTTTGGTGCATTTTCCTCTATCCAGAAAAAAAATGCCCTTTCCATCAGGATCTACACCTGCATCCATTAATCCATATTAACACCATGTTTTCTAAATATTAGAAAGTATGGAGGAAACTTGACAACACCCAAGCAATTGTTTAGTGGGGGATTTTATTGTATTTTTTAATTTAAGGACCATAGCAGAAAACAGTAACTTTCAAATGAGATTAAGTTTCACTACTTTTTCAGTTCAGAATACCTCAGAATGCAAGGGAAAACACAACTAACTGAGGAAATGTCAAAGTCAATGCACTCAGTCCTTAAGCTGTTTATTAAACAGAACCATTAAATCGAATTAAATCAAAAAAGCCTCTGTGGCTATTTGGTGCCAATATGATGCATGATGTAGTGTGCAATGTTAGTGTAACTAGCAAGGTTGTTAGGCAACTTTTTTTTTTTTTTTTAATAATAATATTGGGATACAACAGGTGGAGAGAAACCAGCCAAGAACCTGTCAGCCTACAGGGAAAGTTCATGTTCCCCTCTGCCCCTTCGCAGGCAAAAGGGTCACATATTTTGGGTGGTTCCCTTCACCATGTAAATAAAGCTTTGGCCTAAGCAAACTGCTTTAATCATCAGTGAGGTCTTATACATCATAGGAAAATTTTCCATTCTTAGAAAGAGCAGATGCCAACAAACACCCCTTGGCTACATTTAAGAACAGAATCCATTATCCACGTAGAAAAGCCCCTGGGAAAAGTCAGGGTTGGAACTCCAGCACTTAAAATAAAAATAAAAATTCCTCAATGAACTGAAAATAACATGCAGAACAGTTCTTTCTTTAATGCTACTAGAATTTAACAAGTGGGAAGGAAGTAGTCAGGAATCTATTTTAAATGTATTTTACATCTTTTTTAAAAAGCAGTAGCAAGAAACAACATAACCCAATTGCAAATACATTATGAATAAATTACACATTCTCCAAGGACTATATTTCCAGAATGAAAAAAAAATGTTTTTTCCAATACTAAGAAGTTCCAATATAATTCTGATGTCACCAAGTGTGATATTGTGAAAGTCATTAAGACTAGAGATTTCAAAGAGAAAGAATTCACATGGAGTGCTTATATTTAACTCAGGCTGGCAATGATTTCAGTTTGATTTTTCCAAATACAAATATATCAGAATTGAAGATACTCAATACTCCTGAAACACCCACAACCTGACAGTCATTTTTTACCTTGTCAGAAATCACTGAAAACACTCTCACATTCAAAAATGTGAGAAACATTTTTGTTTCTAACAGAAGTGACACACCCAACAAATGGGACTGACGCGAGGCATCAGCAGTGGCATTAAATTCCATTTGTGATGCTCCTTGGACAAGGAGACAGTGCAGCCTGTTCTGCTGTCTCTCACTTTTTATAACACCATCATCCCTGGATACCATCCAGAAACCTATCCCTGCAGGAATTCTTTGTGCTTCTCTGCCCTGTGTTTTCAACAGGGCTGAGGTACCACTACAGCATCAAGCTAAAGCTCAGCCTGGAAGTGAACAGCACCCAGGCAGTCATATATAAGTCATAGGACTACAGGAAAGAGGCTGATTTAAAAATTCTCAAGAATGTAACTCTGTGGAAAAGGAAAAATAAAGATCCATTTCCTTTATTTAGCTACGAATTTTACCAGAGGGTGCTCCATAACTTGTGCCCATCTCTGATGATTCAGCAGATGCCTCTGGTGCTGAGTTGCCATGGGCAGATGTTCCAGCTCTACTTGAGCCAGCAGGCAGATGATGTGACCCTTATTTTCTAATTGAATTGTGACAAGATACACAACTGATATTTATTCCAAACATCTTGGGAAGCAACCCGGGATTTCTGCAGCAATGCAGTGCATTCTGCAAGGATGATGCCAAGGGAACCACGGGCAGGAATAGCAGCCTCACTATGAGAATCTTAAGATAGCACATCCAATGCCTCTGGCTTTACTGTATCCTACACCATTAAAAGCTTGGCTTCCAAAACCAAAATCACAATGGAGCATGTGCCAGACACTTCATAAAACACTTGATGTTTCACATTGCTCAAAGGAAAACAGAGATAGCACTTCATAAGTAAATAGTCATGGCACAAAAAAGAAATCCACAGCTAATATATGGGGAATCCTGGCTATGAGCCCTAGTAGATGATGCAATATTCACCTGCACTGGGTAGTCAAACCCTGTTTCCTGCCACATGACCCAGAGAACCAGAACGTTGCCACCTTCCAGCACAGAGCCCCCTCTGCTACATCATGAGTCACCCAGAGAAAAACAGGAACCACTGAACTTCTTCAATCAAAGGGGTTTGCAACACCAAACAACAGTTGGAATATTTGTTTTTCCATTTTGGAGTTCTTCAGCATAATCTTTATCAGAAAAGGAACTTTTGAGGTCGCATTTTTACCCCAGTTTATCTTAACTTAATGGAAGAAAGTTATATACAAGGAAAGCTGACAGGATTTCTGCCCATCTGTCTCTAGATAGAATTTTTCAGGTGTTAAATTCAGTCAGAAAAACCATTGCTAAAACCAGGGTAGGCTCTGCAAAACCTCAGTTAACGGAGTGAAGGAAAATGTTGGTATTGTCCTTAGAAGGAAAGGCAATCCTAAAGTATAACAAACGTCATTTACCATCTCATCCTGGAAGACATGCAATCCACCTTCCTGTAATTCTGGTAAAATATGAACAGTCCTCTACTGGAAGTAAGATAAGTGGTCAGGGCACTCTACATAACCCAAGGCCTTTATCACCCAGGAGAAGCATGGCTGTAGAATGAGAAACAAGGATTCTAACCCACTCCAAGTAGCTATTTTAAGCCCTCTAACTTGTCAATAGAGACAGAGCTTATGGGAGAGTGAGCTATAAGCAAACCCAGTGCCTTCCATATAGCTCAGATCAGAAGTAATTAAGAGTCTTTCAAAGATGCCAGACAAACCACAAATAGAGGTTATAAAGCTCAGGTTATAAGTGACTGCTGATTACAGTCATGGTATGGAGGAGCAGTGAAAATGAGGTTGCATGTGCACATCTATGTGTGGGGAAAGGCTAAATGAGGGGCAGTGTGTGTCTCTAGAATCCAGCATCAATTTAAGCTAAGCTTAAAATCTCAGGTCAGGGTTTAACTGTACAGGAATCTTAGGATGAAAAGTAGTCCTGTCACCTTGAGATGAAACCTCATATGAAAAATATATCTCAGCAGCTTCCAGCCAAATCTGAGCCAAACCCAGTACACTTGAAAGGCAGGTTTCAGAAAAGTATTTAGCTATGTACAGTGTGCACATAACATGCAGACAATATGTATGTGATACACAGAAATGAGAAGTGAAAAAGATCAGTGAAAGTCAGGAAGGAGCTGCCTTTAAGATCTGACTCTTTAGGGCTTTTGATTCATCTCAGAACTGAAGCTCAAGGGCTAGTTGGGATCCAAGCACCTGGATTTGATATCCAGCCTCAAATCTGAACATGTGCATTTCAGCCACTCAGGACTGGGTCAGTTTCTGAAATGCATTACCCAAATGAGCACAAGACACACAGAACTGCTGGGGTAGTTCTTTGGGAAGCCACAAGTCTCACCTCTACCACGTGTCGTTTCAGGTGCAGGTAGACACACTGTCCTGTTTTCCGGTAATGCCTCTCGATGTGCTCCCTTCCAAATCCCAGAAACGTGTTCATGCACACATAGAGACCTCCTTCTGAATCCTACAAGCAATGACACAAACAGTTACAGCAGGGAAGGAACTGAACAGGACAGGAAGGACCCAGCACACAGGAAAAAAACCCAAGAATTGCAGACCCCTTCTGTTATCAGGCGCATACTTAAAATATGGCTTCCACAGCATATTATGGTGTTTACATTATCAGTCCTCTAAGAAACTTTACCATCATTCACATATCATAACACATCATCCCACAGCCTATTGAAACTCTTTGAAATGAGTTACCTTGCAACCACAGGTTACTGAGTGTCCAAATTGGAAGTCTAGAAGTTAGTCTTGAAAAATTCCACTCGAGTGCCCAACACACAGAGGTTCATAGGCACAGAAATTTGTAAAGCACAGAAATAAGCACAAGCATTTATTTGAAACAGCAGAATTTCTTGTGGGCATTTGATTGCAAAAACACCATTCCAAACCAGAAGCACAGCAGAGTTGATGGTCCTGGGACTCTGTTACAACTTCTACAATTGATCACAATCCTGTCTGAGGAAAAAAGATCTCAAGCGACCTTACAGCCCTTAAAACTGGCTAACAAAAACTTGGCAAGTGTTGTGTGTGGATTCTTCAGTATCTGTCAGGGATCCTCTCCATTCATGCAACTACAGATCTTGGAGACAATGACATTACAAAGGAAATACAAAGATATATACTCCTGGTGTTGATCACAATGCTGACATTTCAGTAACATAGCCTGGCATCACTTTTTCCTCTCCCTAAAACTGAGTCTTGTTCAATTTTAGCACCACTCTAAGATCTCTCCTGCATCAGACTGCCAGGAGGACTTTCAGTCATCTGCTCATTGGTGTTGGATCAATTTTTTCAAGCCCTCTAACATGTATTGTTTTGAGTAGGTGATGCATAGCAAAGATTGAGCCTTTCAGAAGCTCCATGACCTTCCTTCTATTGTGAGCATGTTTGTGTTACTGGATAGCACAGGACATCTTGTGTTAAATTCTCTAAAGAACAACATGAACTACACTCATTCATAGGCACCTCAGAAGTAAATTATAAATATATATACGAAAGTAAAGATCACCATCTCCAGAAGCAAGTCATATTAGCCACATACATACTGCCTGCTCCTTTATCCTGCATTCCAAATCTTACTGTGTTACCTCTCTCTGTGAGAAAGTCATGGATGTGTCCTCTACAAGAAGATCCTAGAAGTACCCAGTCTAAATAAAAATACACAGTGTTGTCACTCTGGGGCCTCAGGAACTTTGTTTAAAGTTTTGTTTTCTTGGAGATCATTCTCTTTTTTTCTGGAGGGAATCCAAGAGACCACTGAAGTGTTTCTGAGGCAGCCTATGACAACAACCTGACACTTTCAGTATAGGAGCTAAATGTAGAGTCTGAGTAAGTTGGTTGTGGTTACTAACAAAACAGTTGTTTCTCCAAGAGAACACAGGCAGAGTGTTCTCTCCCACAGCTTGGAAAGAAGTGGACAGACTGTTCAAAAGTCCAAAAGGTCACAGTAAAACAGAGGCCTGTGTGAAAAAGACACCTTTGGAGATGGCTGAGTACAGGATTAAGCCCCTGCGTGGTGCTCAAAAAACCACTTGTCTGTGATCTAAGACAAACTTTGTGCTGGTTAATTTAACCCCACTGAGCAGACAAACAGTTCTGGAAGGAATGAAATTTTACATTGTCTGTGGCATGTAAATCTTTGTACTTGACATTCATTTTAGATATGTGTCAAAGTTATGCTGGAGGAAGACAGCTTATCTAAAGTACTGGAGACACTATTCTACACCAGAAAAGCATAACTTTTTCTCATAGACAAAACCAGGAACTTTAGCTGGGTATTTTTTCCCCCTCATACTTGCTTGAGGATGCAACAGACCTGTAGTATGAAGTTTAGGATAAAGTAATGTATAAACATTGTCTTCCCTTATCATTCCAATCTGTAGGGGCAGAAGCTTGTATGTGCCCAGGCTCCATCACTGCCCGGGTCAGTCAAGAGCAGATTAGTCTTCTCACCCCCTAAGCAGAAGGAAAAGGGATTGATTCTCACTGTATTTCTGCCTGTTCTTTGCTGCTAAGGTGGTAATGGTATGCCAGGTGCTTAATTCAGAGAGGGAAACACACAGTCCATACCAAGGAGAAAGGTATTAAAAAAAATAAATAAAAGCTGCTCTTACTCATTTAGTCACAATTCACGTTTGGAGGAAGGAAAGAGGCAGAGGATCACAGGGAAAGAGAGGTAAAATGCACAGCTGCTCCCTCTCAGACTCCAAAGCAGAGCAGGGAAGCTGGTGGGTGAGAGGTCTGGCAAACACAAGCACCAGGACATGAGGACAGAGAGAGAGAGAGAGAGAGATCCCCGCCTCATTCCACACTGCTCGTGGCACCAGACACCAACAGCTTTCAAACACCACTAACCTGATCAGCATCTGAACTTATGACCTCCATCCCATTACTAACCCTCACGAACCATTTAGATCCCTCAGGGAAACTCAGGGTTTAGCAATCTCAGCTCCTGGGGCAGCTCAGACAAGGACTTTGAACAAACACAAGGGCTGTGGTAATTCCTAACATGGCATAGTTGCAGACTCAGGGACAGTGTCTCATGCACAGGTGTTTGCTTTAGATCCTCTGGAACAACAGCAAAATTTGCTAAGACAGTATCACAGAAGAGAGTAAAATGGTACCTTGAGTCTCCACACCCAAACATGAAGAATGAAAAGCTCATCCATCCTGTCACATATAAAGTAAAATGTACCATTTATGACACAGGGTCACTGTCTTTGTGCATTCTGTCATGGTTTCCATCAGAGTGTTTCCCTACAAAATTCATGCCCACACAGAATTGCTGCAGGCTCTGCTCAGGGTGTCTTTTCATCGGGAATCACCATTAATTAATCTGGCTGTGGTCACAAGAGTCTTGCTGTATAACTACAATCCAATCTTTAATATATCTGGAAAAGTTACAGGACCATCCCTAATATATATACATTGCACTGAATCCAACAATAGTCTAACGAAATGACACATATTTTATTTCAGGACAGGCTTAAAAAGAACAACGGATGTTTTGACACTTAATATTCATCTCAAGAACACATGATAATTAACAATGAGGAACAAAAAGAAAGCCTGTCTTTCTGTCAGGTTCCAGTACTACCTACACTGAAACAAGGAGAAAAAGAAACACAGGAAACCACAGACAACCAGCTGAACAGAACACAGAGATGGCTCCAGCAAACAAAAAGTTCATTTTTAAGTTTCCACTGTAGTAAACTTACTTAAAGTAACTAAAGTACTTAAAGTAACTACTGTAGTAGTTACTTTGGGGTAGGGTGGGGGAACCAACAAGAAAAATGTGTGCTAAGGCCAAGAATATATCTAGTCACATTCAATAGAAACATGGGCTATGAACAGTGGTGTAAGTCTGCCTTTTAGACAACTGCCCTCTGCCACCCAAATGTGACAAGAAAATATTGGTGACTAAAGGAAAGCAGAATAGGAATAGTAAGAGGGTAAAATTTGGCATCAGGTAAAAGAAGAATCAGAGGAAGAAGCAACAGAATCAGAATAAGGAATGGCAGTACACTGACATACACAAGCATTGATGTCAAAATACCTACAAGGAGTGAAGAGGAGCAATGTAGTGGTGAAAGACGAGAGATGGGAAAAGAAGAGCTGGGTTGGGCAGAAAAAGAAAGGACAAAGGACATGGAAGTAGGAAATAAATTACAGAGTTTCCAGTAATTGCACTGTTAACTTGAAGTGCAAAAAGAATCCTTCCCCTGCTTTTCCTTTACAAAAGCACTGTATGGCACTGGAGAGCACTGGATATTTCCCTACAAGCAAATTAATTCACAATTGCTTAACAAAGATTCCTGGAACCTTTGTTGTAGCTCCTAAATGGGCACATGGACAAGGCCCATCCAGTACAGCACTAAGAACATTTCCTGGGGAAAAAAAAGCTGTTTAGTCAGCCACTAAACCAAAACCAAACCCCCACTCCAAGAGGTGGACTGACTGCTCACTCCCACCTATAAATCACAGGTGGACTCCAGAGCAGCACATATGAATTCCAAAGCAGTGTCTTGGGCAAGTCACACGCACAGGCAGGATCAAGGCTTCACAGTTAGTGAGCAAATACAATGGCAAAACTAATGCTGGGTCAGCAGTCCCTTTAACCTGCAACCAGGAACAGAGAACATCCACCCATCCATCAGCACTGTTTGGGGTCAGTTTATCCAGGTGCAGACTGTGTGAGCTGCAGGCAGAGGTGTCTGAGATCCACCAGGGCTGATTGCCAAGCTCCAGTCCAGCACTGCAGCCCCAGCAGTGCCACCTGCACTGCTTCCACAGCACCTGAGATGTGGGCAGTTTACTGTGTCCAGAGCCCTGGCTCTACAGCTCTGTTGATCACAAAAACAGTGCTGTGCTTCCAGAACAGAAAAGCTGGGAAGAAGAGTTGAGAGGGAGCTCCAGCATTATCCATTTATCTGCATCTCTATTTATCCTCTGACACTCTGGGTACCTCAGAATACAGATCTCTCTGCTACCCAAAATATTCCAGTCCATCACCACTCTGGATAACAGAATGGTCAGTGACACATAAAGAGGAAAAGGCTGGTAAGATCTAAATTTAAATCAACCCCAAGGAAATGCACAGTGCACATGCACACTGGTTGTTCTCCCAACCACAGTTATTTCTCATGTGTCAATCACTGCAGGCACAACTTCTGCTGATTCTCCAACTTCAGAAGAGTGAAGTTAACTGATGTGAACTAGTTGAGTGTCCTGGTGCACTTCCAGCCAGCAAACACCTGCCCATGTGACAGCTTTGGCACATCCCTGTCAAGCAACAGTACCACACTGCTCTGCCTTTTCAGGTGACCAAGCACCACCAAGCAATTTACTGCCTCACTGACTGGAGGTCATTTTGCAGCTAGGCCAAAATCCTCATCTGGAGTATTCCCTTTGTCTTGGTGTGTTCAGTCCTCTTGTTTCTTCTTTGCTGCTCTCATTCCATCAATAGAAACAAGATCCAAGCTTACCGCTCACAGACGTGGGCCTCAGTGATTTTCTGATTTTCCTCAAGGAATATTGACCAAAGGAACTGCCAGACAGGAGGTGCTTATATCTAGAATGTTTTATGCAACTCAATCACCAATATCCATTACACACTCCAGACTCTCAAGGATTTCAGTCGCAACTGCACAACAAACAGCAGAGCATCAGCTCAGCTCAGACTTTGGGAATTGTCCCAACATAACCATTACAGAGTTCCCGAGCCACAAAAAAATGAGGTCAGCAAGATTCTCAAAGGAAGCTGTTGTCAGCAGCAAGGTTTTCCAGCAGAGCAAAGCCAAACTTTCAGCTGCTCAAACAAACACAGTCCTACACTCCACAGAGCCAGCCTGCCTGGTCCTGTCACTTGTATAGGGCCCATGAGCTGTGCTGGGGCTGTCACCAGTGCCCTTTGTGGGGAAGCTTTCAGAGCACATCCATGTGCAGCATCCATAGCTCACATATAAGCCCTTTTCATACTCCAGTTTGTATCCCCTTTCCAGCTGCTGTCCCTCCCCCAGATGTGTCACTCTCATAACCAGTGACAGGACCTGAGGAAATGGCATGGAGCTGTGTCAGGAGAGATTTAGGATGGATATTAGAGAAAGGTTTTTCACCTAGAGGGTGACTGGGCACTGGAATAGGCTCCCCAGGGAAGTGGTCACAGCCCCAAGCCTGACAGAGCTGAAGAAGTGTTTGGACAACACTCAGGCATATGGTGGGATTGTTGGGGTGTCCTATGCAGGGCCAGGAGTTGAACTCAATGACTCATATGGGTCTCTTCCAACTCAGCACATTCTATGAATCTACAATTCTGTGATAAATGATCAGGGGTTTTTAAGTCCAGGATCACAGTAAAAGGTGGGATTTCCAAAGCTGAGTATTATCCTCAATGAAAAAATAATAGTACAACAAAAGATAATTTAATACAACCTTCGTATCTTCTGCATTCTACTGAACACAAAGTCAGGCTCATCCACCAAAAGAGGAAGAGAAGTCACAGTGGACAAAATAGGAGAGAAGAAACCTACAGCACAGTATTGGAGATGTGGAAAAAGTCACCAGGAGGCATGACTGCACCACAGATCTGAGTAACAAGAGGTGCAGGATTTTGTTAGCCAAGTTGGAGGGAAGTGGTTGGCTCCCATAGTTGCTGGGTCAGTCCCTGGAGGAAGAAATAGTCAGCACTAGGCCAGGCTTGTGTTTTGTAGGCAGTCTGCCTTCCCTCCTCAATTCCTGCACAAAGGAATGGCTAACTGGAGTAGGAGCCCTCATCAGAGAAACACAGTTTTTCTAGAAGACATAAAAAAATCTCGAAAAAGTAATGAAAACGTAAATGATAAGTGGCCGATTTTCTCATCTTATGAGCCAAGCAAACTAAAAAGTGTCCCTAGGTCTCTTAAGCACAAAGAAATTTGCCTCCTGTTCTTGCCAGCTTTCCAGGGACCAACCCTAGTATGTTCTGCTGGAAGTAGGCCAGATCTAAGGACATGAATTTCTCATCTGTTTATATTTCTAACAATCCCACCTTTCGGACAAGATCACCATGATACAGTTAATCCATGTGGAAAAAATACACTAAATAGCCAATTGTACTTCTAGCTCTCACTTCTGAAGCTAATGACTCTCACTGTGGCACAAAGGTGACATTGTTCTCAGATCTTCATCCAAGCAAGCTTTAAAGCTAATGGAAAAGGAACCTCAACCAGTTTTGAGAACAATCAGTGAAGCTGCCTATACCCAGTGGAACATGCACTGCTCAAACCCAGACAAGATGACACAATCTGACAGAGGGACAAACAGGGCTGCAAAACCACGTCTCAGTGCCACGTTAAGCTTTGCACAGCTGAAGCAGAAGAGGGAGCTACTCCCTCCCAGCACCTCATTTTCTTTGGCACTCCCTGACAGAAAAGCTCTGATTTTGACCATTCCACTCCGCTTGGTCCTTGGAAATTTGCTGCATCTTTCTCTACAATAATATTACTCTGCACCTCACACTCACAGGTCTGATGGTTTTCAGTGTATTTTCAAGATCACAACACATCCTTACAGGAAAAGGATTAATATACAATTAATATAGCTAAAGACACTTGACTGTAGAGCTGCTGCATGACCAGGTAGGACATGACATGCTGAAGTTAAACTGTAGCAAGGAGCATATTTTAAAATGGCAAAATGAGAAGATGTGAGGAAATACTGAGAAATATTCTTACAAGGGAAAAAATCTCCTCCAGCAAAAAAGCAATCTGGAATTTTAGCATGGCTAATAAAAGCAATAGGGTTTTTTCAATTCTTGAACATTATAACAGGGTCAACAGTGTATCTTCTTTCAAAAAGAGGCAGGTACCTCAACAGGAAAAGGCTCACTTAGGTAATACATCAATAACCTAAAAAAGTAAGTCACACAATCAACTTACTACAAAACATAAACATCTCCCTTTAGCCAAGAAAGAACCTGTCTGTATCCCTTCACTTTCCTTCTGAATGAAAAAAAACAAAAACATAGCTTTGCTATTTTCCATTTGTAAATTACAGTGTTTTACCCTAGAAAGTACACATTACATATGTCCCTTAGAATCTCCATCCTACAAACAACATCCAAGGCTCTATTAGATTATATGGGAATTTAAAATAAAATCTGAGGCAAATCTTTCACTCAGCTAAGCAGAAGAGTGGTGTGGGATGAAAAGCTGTGGGAAACAATAGAAACTGAGACTGCCTTTATTTTCAATGGTACTGCATAAGTTCAGTCAAGCCTTTTGCCTGGTGAATGCCCATAACAAAATTTAAATAAGAAGTTTTTTCATTGCAGGGCAACACTTTCCTAAGTCTGAAATCTCTTCCTGATAATGCCAAAAGGATGGAAAATTTTTTAGTGTAAAAAAAATATCATACATGCTTCTTCCCACTCCTTTTGCTACTTTTATCCATAGTTTCTGTTAAGTTTGGCTCAAATGTTTTATGTTTTGTACAAACATATTGCTTAGCTAAACACAGCTTTTGCTGCATTCAACTGAGCCTTGCTGCAGGGGGTGGTGATTGATTGTTTTGTAATCTGTAGCAGTATTTTGTATTCCTTCCTACTTGTTAACAAAAACTTATAAACTGTAATATCAAAGAAGCCTGAAAGTGTTACTGAAAACATCAACCATGTGTTCACCCGAGCAGAAATCTGAAGGAAAGAATGTGGTATATTGATTTTCCCCCGCCAAAACCTTCTTAAGTATATAATGCAATTATCGCCTCTGCGGTGGAGTCCGATTTGGCAGCTCTAATCAGCCCAACTCCCAGTACAGTCAGGGCTGCTGGGTGACACTTGAGATCTGAAGAGTGTGGGTAAAAATAACCTCTGTTCAACAAGACATGAAGAACACAAGACAGCTGAGTCACCTTTAAAACCGAAGTCTGATTTTCTGTATTAAAAGGAATTATCAAAGAGAGGGGGCAATATGAAGTAGAAGGGGACAAAGGATCCCAAAAATGCATCTGAAATGTATCTTTCAATGAATATTCTGTAATGTAATAAGCCTTCTTCTGATTGCTGCCAATGACATTAACATCAACATATAGTGCTCAATCATCTTTGGGAAACCTCAGTTTCCTGTGGAGAAGTAACTTCTAATGAAATTTTCAACCTCTTTTGAAAAAGCCTAATTTCTAAGCACCTGTTTCTTACGAAGCACTGCCCATTTACAAAGGCTTCCAGGATTAGCAGTGAAGTTAAAAATTGAGTCAGGCCCCAAATCTGCCACGGAACACATGCAGTCTGTGGAGCTGGGGGATGTTTTGTAAGACACCATAGAAATAACAGCACAGAAAAGTTTACTGCACACGAAACACTCATCTAACAGAAAACGAACCAAGCCAGTGGGGAAACACTACAAGTTCACTGAAGTTCAGTGATGCAACCCTGGGGAGAAATTGTTTCGGGGAGACTTTCACGCTGATTTTCAGGATGAGCCTCTACCTTGGAAGCTTTCTCTAAAGATTTTGAATAGAATGAGCACGAGGCAGTCGGAAAGCAAAATAATTGACATCTGCTCGCCAAAATACACCAACGAGAAGGCCATTACTCTCCCTTTTTTTACTACCTCGGCGTGGAAGCATAACAGGGCTCCAGGTGGAGCAAACAGACCCCGACAACCAGAGCAAGCAGGGAAGTTTCCCCAAAACCACAAAATCCCCGTGTCCAAGCAACCACTTCAGAGCGCCTCGATGGAGGAAAACAAACAAGCGAGCGCAGGAAGGAGCGGCGCTGCCGCGGAGGAGCCGGCAGCGATGTGAGGGGAGCGGAGCCGGCGCGGAGAGAAGCGGCAGGGCCAGGGCCGCGGCAGGTGGAGGGAGGGCTCGGGGGGATTCTGAAGCCTGAGGGGGAGGCAGAGGCTCGGGGAGGGTGCGAGGGGCTGCGGCGGGGAGGGGAAGGGGCCGCGGCGGGCGGGGACGCGGAGGCAGCCGGGGGTGGTTCGCTGCACTCACGGGCGAGTCGTAGGAGAAGGCACACTCCGTCTTGTAGACCCGGTCCCCTGACTTGGGCACCCGGATCGTGGGCATGTAGGGGACGAGCAGCTCGCCCAGGTCCCCGGCGGCCATCTGCGCATCGCCGCCGCGGAAGAGCGCGGCCCGCTGCATCCTCCTTCCCTCCCTTCCCTCCCTCCCTTCCCTCCCTCGCTCCCGGCCGCCCGCCCTCCCTGCCGAGCCGCTCTGCGCGGGCGATGGAGGCGGCGGGCAGCCGGGCCCGGGGCAGGGCGGCGGCGGGAGCCGGGCCCGAGGGAGGGCAGGGGGAGGGAAGATGCTATTTTTAATCCAATGGCAGCGGCAGCGGCACCAGCTGCGGCGGCGGCACTCGGGGGTCCCGGCGGGGGCGGGCGAGGGGCTGCGCGGCGGGGCGGGACTGAGCCGAGCCCCGCGTTTCACCCCAAAACCTCCGTTCCCAACGGGGGAGCACGGACACTGCGCTCCTGCTGTCCCCGGGTAGCCCGGGACAGGTTTCCCTCTGACCGGTAATACTCCTTCATACGCTCTGTTATTTATTCTTAAGCTTTTAAAGACTACATATATATATATGTACACATATATGTGTGTGTGTATGTGTATATATAGATAAATGTATGTATGTATTTATGTGTGTGTGTATATATATATAGCTATGGAAGTAAGTATGTATGTATGTGTATATATATATGAAAGCATATAAGTATATATATGTATATATATATAAGCATATGTATATAAGTATATATATGCATATATGTGTATATATATGTATATATCTTTATACGTATATGGCTATACGTTTGTATAAAATACACACAGTAAAATATCTCTTCTCTGTATTTCCAGTCTCAGCCCCTCATTGCCCAGTGCCGCGGTACAGGTGTCTCACGTGGCTCTGTCGATGACAGGTGGGATGTCCCCAGCTCTTAGGAGGAGCAGGTCGCTGTAAGTGGATACAGGGTGAGAATGCCCAGCCTGGGATGCCTGAGAAGCTGTGGCAGTGCCAGGAGCCAACCCCCAATTTCATGTCTTCTTTCCTTTAAAATGCCCTTTTTTTTGGCCTTTGCTGTGTTTCTCTCTGCTCTTCACTTTGAAAGAGTAATGTCAGAGGAATGAGAAATAAGAGTGAACTTTGTAGGAAAAAAAATACTGCTATTGTTTTCAAGTAGTATCTAATTATTACCACATATGGCTGGCAGCAACAGCATTAAAGAAATGACCAGTCCATTTAAAATGAAGATGCATAGAGCAGATGAATTGCCTTCCTCCCATTGTCCACAATATATCCAAGGATTCATTGACCACTTCCAAGGAGGTGATGTGACCATTGCCAGAACCACCTTTAACCTCAAAATTAAAAGGTTTCAAAAGGTGGTTCTAGGAAAATCTCAGAAACAGAACTGAAAAATGTTTGTACCCAGCTGTATGCAGGCTGTGAGGGTGAACAGAGTAGCATAGTCTGTTCTCAGCAATTTTTACTACTGAAAAATCAAGTGTTGGGAAGAATGTGAAACACTGGGGGCAGAATGTGATGTCCATGCAGTGGTTTTAGACTTACTGAAAAACAGACATTACATCAGACTTGTGAGCATCATTGGATGCTGGATAAAAAACACACAGGGTCAGACAGATCTCTTTTACCCGAGGAGACTTTGTGCTTTTTTAATGGCTTCTCTTATGAATAACTCAGCATTTATAAACAATGAGAGCCATAATAAGACATGTGAGCCATCTAACTTGAAAGATTGATTCTAAGAAAAAGGACAAGCAAAGCACTGATAGAAAATCAATATCTTTCTAATGTTTGGCAGTGGCCAGGAAACAGCAAACGAGGCAATTTTGCTTAAAATAGTCCATGCAGTGTTGCCTAATGTAGTAAAAAAAAAAAAAAAAAATTAAAGTTTCAAATCACTAAATTCTACGGGTTTAGTAAAGGGTTTGAGCTTACTTCCTTTAAAAAGCGAGGATTTTGAATATGGACAGATAATTTAGAGTCACAAACTGTAAGAAGCACTTTCCATCACTCCAGAAATTTAAGAGTACCATGATCTGTAGAACCTGAGGAAACACATCCCTCTAGTGGCAAAAACCCACCAGGTGCTGAGAGAACTCTTCATGTTCCCTAAAGAGTTGTCAAAAGACAACAGCTGTACAGTTCTGAAATGCATGGCAGGTATGCGTGAAGGTACTTTTCTTACTTAGTTCATCTCTCATCAATTACCTGACACGAAGAACAGAGAAAGAAAAAACCCCTATCCTTTTGTGTCTTTCATTTAAAACTATAAATACTAGAAATCACAAAATGAAAACTAGTATTACCAACTTGTTTCATGCATGTATGTTCTGAAAGAAATGAGTGATTGTTGACAATTGAAATAAATCATTTTAACTGATTAACATCTTTAATAGCTGCATGAACTTTACTGCCACACAGTTTCTTTCAAGATACTGGAATCAACACAAACGGTTTATTCATTTCTGTCAGCAAACAGTAGGATGTCTGTTCCACAGCACAGTCACAATTTGTCAGTATGCATTTAAGACCTTGCACACTGCCCCAAAATTGTTTAATTGTCAGGTGTGGATTTCATAGAATTGTCAACAAGATTTTTGTCAGGTGTTTCATAATGGTACCAAGGTCCATCTCCCCGGTGTCTCATCAGTCTGCGTGCCTCCAACTCCATCAACCTGAAAAAAAGGCAACAGATACACTCAACATGAAGTTTGTTGATGTTGAGCATTACTGACAAAGCAATGACTTTAGCATCAATGGTTTATAAATACTGCTGAAACATAGATAGGACAAAAATATGACGGGCTCAACTAAGACATGAGCTATTAAATCTTTCTATTTTGATTTTTTTTTTCCAGCAAGTTATTCCACAAAGGAGTAATAAAAATACCGGCAGTTTTATCACAAGTTCTTCTCTAAGCTGTAAGCATTAGCAGGGGCAAAAAGAGCTCCATTTGCTGACTCAGGAAGACAGAGCTACATCTCTATAAATACCAAGTGTTTTGAAGACCCCCTGCCCTTGAATTGTTCTGGTAACCTGAATCCTGAGAGGGCAGTGACAACAGATACTGTGACTCCACACTGGCAGCAGCCAGTGCAGGCAGCACTCAGGGGATATATGAAAGCACTTTGTGTCAGCATCCAGCTCAGTATGTCATGCAAAATCAAAGAGTCAGCTACAGTATGGATCAGGATTTTAACCCCCTAACTACAGAACATACCTCAGTTCAGATTTCCTGGCTTCTACCTCAAGCAGGGCCATGTCCTTCTCATAGTTCTTCTCAGGGGGGTCAAGTATGTAACGAGCTATCCAGCGGCTTATGGGGTGCTGGAAAACATAACAGCAGAGATTATTTCTGCAATTTCCATGTAGAAATGTCATCATAACTGTTGTATATCCACAGTCCTGAGAAGATGTCATGGACACTATGAGTGCTTCCATTCAGATCATAACAGTGAAGTTGCAAACGTGCACAACTACTTGTGAGATCAGAACCCTAAAAGGTTGTATTTCTTTTGTAATTCTTAATGCAAAGATAACCTGCAGATGACTATTCTCTAGCAAAATTAAAATTTAACAGAAGATACAATTTGTTTTCTTCATGTTAAAGTTAAGTTCCTTAAACTGCCACAGTAATCACAGAATTGGTCTCCAAACCTTACTGTAATCAGCAACATTTCAAAACTTTGCTTCCACATAGAGGGCATTTCTCTAGGAAAAAAAGTCTAAATGAGTTGAAACAGCCACAATAATATTGCTGCATTAAATTACTTCCTATCAGAAACAAAACAGTGCTTGCAGTAAGAAGCCAGTGACTAATTTTAAGAAAATACAATTAAATTGAAACCATACAACCTTGAACTTGCGACTATAAAAATCTTCAATTCTAGATCCAAAAGCATGTGTGATATAAAACAATACCGGCATATCACGCAAAAGAAAGCAACGTCACTTTAAACTCCAACTTCTTAAGACATTGTAGAAAAAAAAAAAAGATAAAACCTGCATGCTATGAATGCAGAGGACTTTTCTTACTATTTAGGAACATTATAGAAAAATTCTTGGCATGCAGCAAGAATTCAGCAGTTTACTGCATACAGAGCATTTGCATCTGCTCGTGTCAATGAACAGATTTCCTACAGCCTTCTACATGTTCCATGAAGCCACAAAAAAAAGTTTACCAAAATCAGAACTGCACTATTTGAGTTTTATTACACTGACAGACATCATCATACTCCATACATTTTACTCCCAAAAGTATCATCAAGAGAAAGTCTGTTCATAACACACCCACCCTTTTACATGTTACACTCACTTTGTAGTATTCCCAGTGCTCTGGAACATAACCTTCAGGAATCTCTGCAAGTTCAGCTTCACCTGACAAGGAAAGGAGGGGAGGAATATTTAACTCTATGATTATTTTCCAAAGCTACCTTATATTCTGCCTTTCAGGTAAGGAAAAGACCATTATTCCACATAGAGAGTACTAAATCCCTCAGTGTGAGCTCTGTTCAGAAAAACTGAACTTGAAATGTTTGCAGACACATCAGATGCAAGTATCTACTCACAGATTTTAAGTGACACACCTAAATGGTAAAATTAGCAACAAGAACAGAAAAAACAAATTGGATCAAGTCCACAGAAATGCCCTTCAAAGTACAGGAGCTGAAAGTAGGGACTTTTAATGATTTCTTTATTAAATTAATTACCTAACATTACAGCAGTAGATTTAACACATCTATTGCCAAGCAGAATTTTGGTATCTTTGCTAGATAAAAAGCCAGAGTTGCAGTCTTGTTAAAGCAAGTTACTAAACTTCACTGATGTTTGAAAAACTGCCAAAATGTGAGAAACTTTTTTTTTGAAAAAGCAACAACTGAAGCAAATACACTGGAAACATTTTCTATGTAATTATACAATATCACTGTATTTGTTAGGCTTATTCCATGGTCTTCCAAAGAGAGAGCCTTAAAAGAGTCCTTCTTCTCTATCCAGCATGCTTAATTCCCATTTAATAACTTTGACTGTACATTGCTTAGCCCTGACAGAGCACTCACCAATAAAGATGTTGATATATGTTAAGACCACGGCCACTGGTATTCCCGTCAGGAATATATAGAATCTCTGTATAGGGGATAAAAACAGTCAGTGTGAGAAACTCAGAACCCTGACAAAATTTACATTGAGATCTGAAAACATATCTGAAAATAGTGGAACAGCCAGTACCTCTTAGATTTGCATTCCTAGGTTGGAAAGGGATGTTGTATGTAAACACTGCTGATTGCAATGACTTAATTAATGAACTAGAACACACAAAAGTGATGCTGTGTCAGCCCATGAGCCCATTCAGGTCAGCTCCCATCTCCCAGCGAGGTCAGTCTGTGCAGCAGCAAACACCTCCCTGAAATCTGCATTGGCATCTTGGCATGACTGGCTCCAGCACTCAGCTGCAATGAGGCACTGACAGCAAAGCAATAATCCAACACCAATGCAACCACTGTGGGCTCTGTAGCTGTGGAACGCACATAAAGGAGTCCTGATCACATGAAGGGAGTTGTATCAAATTGGCTGTTGCTGCTTATAATAGGATTTATCCAAAACTTGACTCTGGAGGGGTCAAACTCAGGTCAGGCTTCCTAAATCTCACCTCTGTTGTTAGTGGTGTAGATAAGTGAAGGCAAACTCTGCAGGAAAATAACTGATATATTTCAGAAAGGAGGATGGAGTAGAAAGCATTTGTGGGTCATGCATATATGAACACAGACATGTAATTTAAGAATGCTACTACAGCACTAATTTAAGTACCTATCACAACCTCTGCTATATAGCCAGTCTTTGAACTTCATCTGGCCCTGATTTTACAGTATATGACCAAAAAATTCTTAAAGAGAACCTGAAATTCTTGTTTATGTAAATAATGCCAGCCATGTTTTAGACGCTATTGCATAAACAGAGGAAATTTTATTTTAGACACTCTTACACCATTTGCAAGTGATGTGTTACATACACTGAATGCAATACATTTGATTTTTAACTCACCAACAAGCTCAGAAATCGAGAATCATAAAAACTTGTTGCCTTGATGATAAACATTCTCTTCCCATGGTCACCACCGTGTCGTACAGGAACTGAAAATTGAACCAGAGTATTATGGTTTTGTACCTCATTGGTGCTTATGCCAGGACAAGGTCAAACATATGTGGGGTATAAAAAAAACGAAGAGTGTACAATAGCGGCCGAATTTTCCGCAGTTCGCCTGAAGTAATTTCGTATTTTTTTAGCATGAACCTATTTTCCTTCTAACTACAGACAAAGATCTGTGTCTACCTGTAAGCATCAACACGTGAATCAGTGAACGTCACCACAGAGGGCCAAGTAAACGGACAATTAGAATTGCAGGAGGGTCGGCCTCTCTCCCGTTTCCATCCACTTTTTACCCAAACCCGATTGTTTTTCATCGGAACGGGGACACAACGCTGCACCTTCTGAGCTCCCCGGCCCTCCCGCGGCCTCCGGGAGGGCACCTCTGCTCCGCTCCGCAAGGTCACCTCACCCCGCCGCTCCCGCCCCGCCACTCCCCCGCCGGGGCCGTACCGAGGATGCCGGGGAGGCGGGGGGCGATCCCGGTGATCCCGGTGGTGCCGGTGATCCCGGTGGTCCCGGCGCTGCCCGCCCGCCGCGCCGCCCAGGCCGCGGCCGCCCGCAGCACCCGGCTCATGGCCGCCATGGCTGGGACTGGCACGGGGCGGGGCCGGCGGCGCCGCTTCCCGCCGTGGGGTGAAGCCGGCGGCCGCCATCTTGGGAAAGGGCAAAGCCTTCCCGGTGGCCCCGGCGCAAAGGAAGGGCATGGGGGTGAAGCCTTGCAGGCGCCATCTTGGAAAAGGGCAGAGCCTTCCCTGTGCTCCATGTACCGCGGGAGACCGCGGGGTGAGGCCGGGCAGGCGCCATCTTGGAAAAGGGCAGCTCCCTCCCCGTGCCCCCGACGCTGTGGGAGGGCGCGGGGTGATGGCGGCGGCCGCGGCTATGGCCGCGCTAGGCCGGAGTCTCACGACCGCGCTCCGGCTGCCGCGGGCTCGGCCGGCACTGCCCGGGTACGCACTGCGCTGGGGGGACTGGGGCTCAGGCACGGAGGGGCGGCCACGGTTCCCGGGAGGAAGGAGAGCCTTTGGCGGGAGGCGCGTGTCCGTGTGTCCCGGTGTCCGTGTGTCCTGTCCCTGCCTGCAGGGTGGTGCGTGGCTGCAGGCATCGTGTAAGGGCAGCACGGAGCGTTCCCTGTGCCTGTAGAATCCTGCAGTCATGGTGCTGGTACTTCCAGCATGGGTGGGGTTTTCCCGTGTGCCCACAGCTTTCGCCCCCAGGCCACGGGGCCGCCGTGGATTCTCCCTCTGTAGACACCCCAAACCCACCTGGATGCGTTTCCATGTCACCTTTTCCAGCTGACCCTGCTTTGGCAGGAATGTTGGACTGGATGATCTCCAAAGGTCCTTTCCAATGCTAAAAGTTCTGTGATTCTGTAATTTTGTACAGCATAGTTCAAATTTATTCTTTAGTTTTTAATTTCTATTTATCTCTAAGTATAGAAAATTGATAATTAGATTACATGAGGGGGAGGAGAAAACAGCAAAAGGACGTTTTTGTGACTAACCAAATCCCTGCTTTTTCCCCGCAGGCCATGGTCCATCTGTAGGACCTGTGCCTTTGTGAATGAAACAAACATTCTCATTTAGCAGAATATTACTTGTCTTATCATACGTAGTTTTTCTTCTAACTTTTATGCAGGATGACACTGAATCTGTACCACAAGAACCTACCAAAAATTGAGACACTCCATCAGGTGAAGTTCCTGCACTCAACTGTATCTCGGAGAGGTCTGGAGGAGTTTTTTGATGATCCAAGAAACTGGGGGGAAAAAAGTGTAAAGTCTGGTGAGTTGTATTTAGCATTTCTGATAGGGATCTTTGAGCAGAAATCTGACCTGGGTTTTTTTTTTTGCATCATAGGGAGCATTCATAGATACATAAAACTTATTTTTCTATGTATATGTATATGCATGCACTTGTGCATCTTTATGTCTCTTCATTTTTGCTGTGTATATTCAATGTTCATGAAAACAAGTAGCAGTTGTGCACCTAAACGTTTTGCTGTAAATCCTCTGCTTTGCTCTGAAGTGAGAGTGTATCACAGAAGAGATGTGCTTTGATGAAATATAAGTACCATGAAAGAAAACTAGTTCAGTGTAAAGATTCATCTGACAGCCTTCCATATTCCCAGCCTTTTACAAACACTGTGCGTAATTGCCTTTCTGTATTGTGTTTTAAAAGTGAAGCTGAATATCTTCAAGGATGGCTGTCCAAGCAGTAGTACTTTAAAAGTGGTCTTTATACTGTTGTGTCAGCTGAGCCTAGTAGAAACACTTTTATTCCAGAATAGACAACTTTGTTCCATTAAATTAATGGTGGTTTTTATCTTTCACAGGGGATTCATGGAATATAAAGCAGCTAAGGGGCAAGAGTAGTGAAGACTTACACAAACTTTGGTAAGTAAGTTTTAGTGAAGAAGCTTCTCTTCTTTCAGAAGCTCTGCACTTTTTAATAAAATGTGGCTGGTGAACTTAAGATCCAGGAACTTTAGTCTGGCACAGAGCTCTGCAGGCTCCAGCCAGTTTTGGGCTTGGACAGCCCTGGTCCTGGCCCTGCTCAGAACACAGAAGCTGCACTGCAGGTGGCTGTGGGACCAGCTGTATCTTATTCAGAGGGCTCAGGTTTGATACAAACCTCTGGGGGTTGTTTGAGCTCAACAGATTTGGCTGTCACTGCTTTCTGGTGGGGTGGGCACTTATTCCATCAAGGTGCTCAGGTTTGCATTTATTCTGATTTTGGAAGTTTCTGAAGCTGGAGGTTGCGTTGCCACTTTAGACTGAACTTAATGATTGCTCTGAACAGCTTTTTCCTCACTTTGTCTTGTTCTTTTCCCGTGTACGTGTAAGGAGAATCTGGCTCTGAATCTGGCTCTGTCCAGGTAGTGAAAGACAACTTAGAGTTAAACTCTTCCCTCCTAAGCCCTCTTTATTCCAGACTAAGCAAAACTGTCTAACTCATTCTTCTCTTTTGTTTATTTGAAGCCAGCCGGATTTGGGATTACAGGTAGTAAGTGAATAACTGCTTAGCTGAAGTTATTTTTGAATTACTGTGCTTTCTTCTCTAGGTATGTCTTGCTGAAAGAAAAGAACATGCTCTTAACTTTAGAGCAAGAATCCAAACGACAGCGCAAGCCTATGCCAAGCCCAGAACGCTTAGAAAAGGTAACTTTTTCGTACTACATAAAAACTAGAACTCTTAAGTAAGATTGTTGAAAGATCAAGTGTTTGTAAACTTGTTAAAGACCTTTTAAAAAAATTATTTCCCTGATTTTAGCTTTTGCACTAACTGTTAAAGTCATATTTTGGTCAAGGAATTTTCTCATTCTCCAGTGGGCATTACTGGGGCTGTGACCAGACTCCAATGAAAACTAAAATAACCAACAGCCACTACAAACCATAAGCAAATTGTTTCTGTTTGCTTCTCCAGCTTCCTTCTGACCCCTGCCTCAGAGCTTCCTATACTTCTGTATCAGAATTGGATCTGGATTTATGCATTACTCAGCTGGTCTTTAATCAAATATCAGACTGTCAGTTATTTCATATCTGTGCTGCTCTCAAATTAGGTTTTTGAGGCACCCGTTCCTTACTATTCTAGTATATAGGCCCTGCTGAGAGACAACTCACGATCAAACTCATGATCAGCATGTTTTACCTTTGTTTCCCTTTAAATTTTGTCTTAAGTCTTTGAGATCTTTTAAATTTTCAGCATTGTTTTTTGTTGGTGCATCCTGAAACTTTTCACCATTTCCAGGTAGAAACGTCTATGAAAAATATAGACTTGGTTGTCAGAGAAAGAGAAATTGCTTTGAGGCTTTTACAAACGGGCCATGAAAAGCCAGTCCCCGGCGAGTGGAGACACGACTTCTTGGGACGCACCTTCTGGTATGGAAAACCTTCTTTTTTAATGTGTGCATTTTGCTTGTGGTGTGTCTCTCTCCCAGAAAATCCTTGTCTAATTAAGGAAGGATGCATAGACTGTACAGAACACGGGACAGTTACAAACCAAGCTAGCAAGAGCTGGAAATAAATACCCACATACAAATTCTGCCATCTCCCAGACCACTTTATCACTACTTGAAACTAAGAGGAACTGGTAAAATCCGACAATTAAATACAGTGTATACATTCTGTAATCATTTTTATCTGTCTCCAACAGGTACAGTTACAAGGAATGGCCAATACCATGGCACTTGAACAAAAAACACAAAAAGAAGAGATTCTATTACCTACCTCATGTGAATCAATTCATCAGGTAAAAAGATTATTTTGGCATTGAAAGTTATTTCTGATCTGTTTGTGTTTATTCCACTTTAAAAGGAAAAAAATAGCTGTGATCTTTTGCTTTTCAGCTACTAGACTGAAAATTAGGCTTTTTAAAATTATAGCTTGCTCTGTTTATTTTTTTCTGTTCCCACCTTAGTTACTAAGGTACATGGTTATGCAGTAGCACTGTACATGTAATTTCAAATGCAGACTATCAAAAATACTCCCAGAGGCTGAACTTCTGTAGAATTCAGAAGCAGAGTAAAAATACTACTTTGCAGGCTTTTTTACTTATCAAAAGCAAATTAATACTGAAGTTGTTAATCACTGAGAGCCTCTATCTGACTGGGGGGGAGCTCATTAGAGCTGGAAATGAACCACACCACTTCTGTGTTTCAGACTCAGACTTGAAAAATCCTTACGGAAAAGGGCAAGGCAGCAAAGCCTGGAGAGAACAAGGCAGAAGGTCTTGGAAAGGAAGTTCCCTGACGTTGCTGTGAAATCCCAGAGCCAGTAACACGCTGGAAGAGCACTGCAAGGTCGAGTGTCTGTGGAACATGAATCATGTTCTGGAACCACAAACTCCACTGAGCATTCCAGAGAGTCTCCATCTTTTTCTTTTTTTTTTAATACCCCATTTGACTTTAATTAAACTTGTGATCTGGAATTAAAAAGCAGCTTGGGTGCCTAACTCAAATGATGTAATTTCTCACATTTCCAGGAATAAATGTTCTGCTAGCCAGCTGTTACAAGGGTGAGACATGCATTAGGAACAGTGAAGAGCAGCCACGGAGTGCCAGCTGACAGTAACAAGTGTAGGGGTAGTATTTACCTGGTTTAGTTTTGCAAATGTGCATTAAAACCAGACAGAAACATGAAAGCATCTGAAGATCACCTATGAGCCTTTTTCCTGATCATATTTTTCTGATACATTTTTCTGAATCTTTTCCCGAGTTACAGGTAAGGTATGGAAGGTGTATTTGCTTTCTGCATCAATGCACTGGTAAATGGGCTCTTTGGTCTGCTATGTGGAATTTTTTCTACTACTTTAAGTCTGACTTCTTAGAAAGTATGAAATACTCAGCATGGGAACTTCTAATACAGTTGTTCTGCATATGACAAATTCAAACTCTTGAACAATGTTTGGAAGAAGACTACAAGTCTTCTTTGAAATTGAAGTAGGCTGTTGCTCTCAGCTGAGGTAAACACCTTCACCTTTCACTTCCTGAAAGCTTTTAACCTGTGCATGTGGTGGTCTAGAGATGTAGATTTAAGTCACAATACCAGTCTTTCAGGAAGCAAATGTGCTCAGCAGTATAATTTGGCAAAACATTGCAAGGGAACACTTGAGTGGAAACTGGACTGAGTCCTTTTCTTCCACAATGACAAGAGCTGGTAGCTGGGAGCACTTAGTACAGCTTTGCAGTTTGCCTCATTTTGCAAGAGAAATGGTTTGTCAATAGCTTTGAAAATCTGATCAAGCAACTTTGTCTAAAGAGCAACTCACGATTCTCATGGTAAGACAAAAGCAGATTGGTTTGATAAATTACTTTATTATTTGGAGGTAATGTGAAACTTTTCAAATAGAGGCCTCATAATTATTTACCCACAAGATCTTTTAGGATACAAAAATGTAGCAGTACTGTTTTATTTTTTTTAGATCAGTTAAATGCTATTTGGTTTTCCACAGCTTTTGAGATAAGGAGCAAAACTTCATTGTGTCCCAAAACAGACCATCACATCATTGTAGATTAAGCTTAAAAGCAACATTGAGCTGCATTTTGACAGCCAATTCCTGCTGAAAAAAAAAGTCATCCCCATTCCTGTGACCCTGAGTGCACCTTCCCCCTGCAAACACAGGCACTTACAGACCCTGCTGGGAGGCACAGGGGGAGCCACACCAGCCATGAGCACACAGCACTTACAGCTCCCTGCAGCAGGGTCAAGCCAGCACTGAAAGCTTCTGACTCTGCTCCCAGTCTTGGAGAGGCAATTCTTTGTCTCAATTTCCCTGTCTCCAACAGGTTTTGCTTCTCACCAACATCACAAAGGCATTAAATACATTCTTAGATATCAGGTGGAAAGCATTGTTTTGCTTACTGAAATGAAACTGCTCCGTAATAAAAAAATTAGCAAACCAGTGCTTAATATAACATTCACTCCATGGAATGTAACACTTCTGTGAGACAGTAAAAGTTTACACTAAAATAGATCACTGAATACAGACTTAAAACAGCAGAGTAACTTTCTCTGCAAGTACTCACAAGCTTGCTCAAATATAAAAGACCAAATTTTATTTTTTAAGAGAAAAATAAGAGCAATTTAAGGCCAAAGTACCAGCAAGGAAGACTAGTATGTGAAAGTAGACAAGAAATTAGACAAGAAATAATTAATAAATAAGCACAGGCATTTGCCTCTATCTATTAGCTAACCTGTAAAGCTGTTCCCAGGAAAAGATACTAGAGAAAATAGACATTTATACAAAATTATAAAATGCTTGTTACATGAATTATTGCTTTACAAGGGACGTAAACATCCTTTTTCTATTATAGTACCAATTAGGTCTCTCAAAATTTCTAAGGTTTGTTAAAATGGAGCTTGAATTATGCAAAAAACCCAATATAAACTTTCTACAAAAAAGTCCATCCCATTCCTGAGTATGCTAAAGCTATAAAACAGAAGGAGCACCGAGCAGGCAGCAGTTTTCACAGTAAAGAGGTCTAAGGACATTTTCTTTCTACACACTGTTTCCCTCCTTCTTCATATTCTTGTTTAGAAATCCACATCTGCTGGAAAGTACCCTACAAAAATAAAGAAACAAAAGCAACACACAATGAAAAAATATCAGAACACAAATGATGGTTAATTGAAACATGATTAGCTTTTCCCAGGAGGGAAGACAAGCAAGTCCTTACATTAAATGAAGTATTAGGACTTGACCTGCTTAACTGTCTCTTCCTCGAGTTTTATTGCTGAGGGATTAAACTCAAGACAGGAAGTGCAGCACCAAATTCTGATTCCAGTCTCCCTTTGCCAGGATAATAAATTAATCCCCACAAACCGTTTGAGTGCTCGGTAACTTGTAGAATTAACCTCAGCAATATGATGCAGAAACAGGTTTGCTACTTTCATGGTCTACTAGATATAAAGTGCATGTATTTCAGGTATTTCAAGGTTGCACACCTTGCCATTAAAAATGGGAGAACATGGCAGGATATGTTGCCACTGGAAATGCTCACACCTCTTTTTGAAACAGATTCTCTTCCCCTAACCATGAGGCTAGCCAAGATTATGATTATGTAGCACTGCAATGCATACTTCTGGGGAATCAGATTTCTGGGTGGCAGTGCTGTTCAGCACAGGTTTACTAACCAAAGAAGCCAGAATGGAGCCCCCAATCCACGAGCTGAACCTCCGCTCCACAGTGGTGTTGTTGGCTATCAGCTTCAGGCGCATGCTCTGCACAGAAAAGGAGCCAAACCAAACGTCACACAACCTGTAAGCTGTAACTGTGACCTTCAGGGACAAACAGCACAAGGAACCTGGTGTCTGTACCAATATGCAGCTGAAAAAGGTTCATTTTAGTACCCCTGCAATACTGCTCATCTGCCCTGCATTTACAATTCAACCACAGTGGAACAGGAAATGTGGTTTTTACCTTGTCTCCCAACGGCAAATGGTAAAGGCAAGGAATGGGGCAGGTGGAGAGCAATAATATCACAGTGTGCAGTGTCATCTCCAATACTGCACTGGGACTAAAATTACTTATGTTGCTAGACTTAAGTCATATAGTCTTTTTTGGACCCATTCATTCCTTTTTCATTTCAAAATGCCTTATAGCAATAAAATCTTTGAATTTCATTGGGCTCCTCCTCAGCTATTATAAGCAGTGAATACATTTCTCAGTTTCTCCTAACATTCATCATTTAGAGTTGTCACATTTTTGCTTGAATACTAAAATTCAAGAAATATCATAATCTATATCTACTCTCAGATGCAAGGTATCAATATTTTCTTCGACATCAAGTGATTAAAAATATGTAAATATGTTATTACTCATAGACAAAATCTGGTGATTTAGGTTGTCTGCAGAATCAAGAAAAAACAATTTCGAAAATGAAGTGACCTCAGGCAGAATGACTGTGCCTCAAGTCAGTCAGCAATACTTCAAATGAGAGAAATACTGGCTCTTGCTTGGGGTCAATTACAGAATTTAGGATCACAATCTGAAAGCAAGAGCGGAGCAGTAGAACAGTAAAATATTCAAGGAATATTGGAATTTATTCTGTATAAAACTCTTCAAGAATTCTTTATTTTCTTTAGAGAGGAAGATTTCTTAACCCCGCAGAAATCTATTCAGCTGTCAGGTTCCTAAGAAAGTGAAAGCACAGTACACACAATATCCTTGTATACTTATGTGGCAGAAAAGTAAAATGTTAAGTACTCAATACAGCAATGGAATGAGTTGCTTTACCGGTGGGGTTTTCTGAGACAGCTCCCTGTTCAATCTGTCTGTGAAACTCTGTATTAGAGTGTTTCCTCCTGCTACAATCACACTGCCATAGAGACCCTAAAAAGAGGAAAAAAAAAAAACAAACCTAGAACTTTACCTCAGAAATCATTCTGAAAACAGCTCTTTCTCACAACAGAGAAGGGTGGCATGAGTATGTATAGTCAACAGCAATAATACATCACTTGATGCCAACAGTATTACCTCTCCCAATTCAATTAATTATTTAATCACTTAAAAATATTGCAAGGCAGCTTGATATTTAACTATAAAAGAAAGGCAGAAGCCATATGTTCTATATGATTCCATGAACAATTTCTACTATGGAGAGCCCTCAAGCTGCAGATCTCCCCTGTATCCAAATTGTTGGGTTTTTACAGCTGAATGCAACCTCAAAAGAAAACCCCACAGCACTGCAGCAGATTTCTATCCCACTGCAGCTGGGGAACACACACCAGGGCCCAGCCCACTAAGCCCTCCTCGCACACTGGTTAACAGAAAAAATTTTTGAAAGATCTCTCAAACAATCTGTATCAAACTGACACCGGAGAAAGATAGCACATTAATTTTAAAAATAATGTTTTCCTTTAGAACTTCTTCTCTTTCTTCTACTTTTTATAAATTCCATGTATGCTCTAAATATAACGATGCCTAAAAATCTGAAGGTAACACTCAAAGTTATGAACATAAATGCTTATCTGAAGCCAGTCCAATCCAAATTATGCAGTGCCAGCCACAAAATCTGTACATCAGATCTTTCAATACGGGTAGAAACACTAAGTAAAACATCCTGATTTAGCATGTTTTAAGACTAAACACTGATGGTACATATCCCTATATACAAATACATAATACTTATAGAATTATTCTAACATATTTATCGTTATCCTAGGATATCCTAGGAAATTTCTTCACTGTTGCTGTTCTAGTCCCAAAAACATATATCAGCACAAAAATATCTATGCCTTAAAATACTGCCTGGCTGACTAACACTTACCGGCCTGATATCTATATCACACATTCCAACGCTTGTTGTGACAACGTGGCTCACACCCAACATCGTGTTACCAGATAAACCCTGCAGGGAAAATTAGCAATCTACACATCATTGCTTCAAGAGAGCAAGGCGTAGAAAAGCCTTGAATGAATTGCACTTTACAAGTATTACAATATGGACCATTTTGTTAGGGAAGCAACAAAAAGATCCCTATTTTTCCAGTCAGCACATCACCACCCAATTTGAACACTTCATCCTTCCCTTCCCCAGCCTTAATTCAAGATAGGCAAATTCTACCCCCAGGAGAACCCCACAGTGCAAATACATCCAAATCATGAAATTAAAAACGTTATACAAAAGAAAGCCATGTGACAGCCTAGTCATGCAGAGCCTTCCAATCACAGCTATCATTGAGGTTTTACCTTTACATTGGAAGGGTCAAACAATCCCTCGGGAATTTTCAGACGCTCAGCACCAAAGTCACAGTTGTAGCCATTGGGGAACTCGTAATGAACTGTTGGCATCTGTGCTGCCACCCTGGGGCATCAGACAGAAAGCAACACATTAAAGTGCTCTCTAGACAGGATGTCAAGTTATCTAAGCAGTGTTATAAACTACAGTTCCAATGGGAATACTGTGATTCATAAGACTTACACTTTCAATAATATTTATTACGATCTCATCTTGGAATATTGAACAAAAAACTATCACCTGGGTATACGCAGTATTCCTACTTTCGTAAATCATCAATTTTTAGATAAAACCTTCTTCCATAACAAAACCAGCCAACAGCAATGAGCAGGCTGAGCACCACATGCACAAATGGTAACTGATTTTACACGAAAGAAGAAAGTAACATACTGTTCATCATAGGTTGAATCTGATACTTGGAGGACAGATGCCTGGAAGTCCTGAATGACACACTGTGGAGTTAAAAATAACATGAATTTATATGAATTTTAGTCTTGAATTTTATAGAACTTACAGAATTGGTACTAACTTTTCAAAGATTTTCTCGTTCTTAAAGAGGAAACACTGATATACTTGCAAACAAAACTTATTTATGGAACACTCACAAGAGGTGAGAGCAAGAGGAATGACCTACTTACATTACACATGTAGTTGTGCCAAGACCTGGTGACCTGAGGCAACTTCTCTTTTCTCTTCCAATTTGCTGGCGACCCCTCACGAACTGCCTCCTGAGATTGTAGGGTACAAAGTCATTGGGTAAACATTTAAGCCTCTCCCCAAGACAACACTTACGAAATGAAGTTACTTTCCCACCTTTGAAGCAATCATATATGGAGGAATTATCTCTATGTTCATTTCCTGAAACAGTTCCCGGCACTGCATAGTGATAAAGTCTCCTGCAAGTGGTGATTTTACAATACCTGGAAGGCAAAGAGGGGATCCAAAATAAAAACCTAAACAACTAACCTGGAAAGCATCCAAATCATGAACAGACTCACCCAACTATTTGTCAGTGAACACTATTAGGGCTTTTTTCCTTTTTAAGGAAGGGGAAGGGTAAACAGATGTAAAAGGTTTTTAAGGGTACCCAGACGTAAAAGCAGTAACAGAACTGTACAAGCAGGAATCACACTAACTCAACCTTGACACTGCAGTGCTGTCATCCATGAAAGTCTATACCTTGCTGAAGTACATATCCATCATGCACTGGAATAGCAGTGGTGTGTGTTGCTCCACTATCCAAGATGAGACCTGTAGATCGTCCATTAGCAAAACTAGTCAAAATGATTAAGGAAAACATTGTAATTCTCACATTAGAAAAAAAGTGCTGCCATGAAATTAGATCATAACTAGGAATGAGGACTCCAACATGTTACTCCTTGCCTCTACAAAAGGATTTCTGATTTTCCAGTGCGTGTCATCTTTCTGTGAAGTGCACAACCTCCTAGAGAGAGCAACATTTAACTTCCATCTGTGAACTAACTCAAACTTTGCTCGTACAAGGGTGAGACTTCATAGCCACTGCAAGCTCTAAGTACATCCAACTCATTTAGACTTGAAGCTGGAAACATATTATTAGTTTAAAATAATTACAAATATTCTTCTTAAGGCTATGAAAACTTCAGGCTTTAATTACGGTATTTCATAGTGTGGACACCACCATTTCAGGTCTGTAATATTCTTAGCCATAGCATACAACGGCAAAAAAAAACATAATGAAAATAAAAAAAAAAAAAACTTAGACCCCAAGGACAGAGTCAGACTGGGAGAACTTCAAAAATGATCTCTAATGCCTTAAAGTTCAGAAACTGAATTTGTTTACTTCCTCCCTGGATGTTTATGGAAAAAACCAATGCATGCTGCTACACTTAGAATTGCGTCGAAAAAGTTTACCATCATTTCCCGGAGGAGGGGGAATAAAACCAAGCAGTGAAGCATTTCAAAGGATACGCTGTCAGAACGGCAGTTTTACACAAGAAGAAAGCCGGGATGTTGTAGTGTTCAAACATCAGTTCTGTCAGTTTTTCACGCTTTGCCCTGGTATTCCACTAAAAAATAATAAATCCGAACCACGAGTGACCAAAAGGAAGCTGTGTTTGCACACTAATAGATTGTTAACACAATAAAGAAGTGATTAAAAAATGGAGCTATAGTTTCAAATCATACAAAAATTCTACAGAAATAGATTTCTAGTAATTTACTTCTTTAGAATGGTTTTCATTCCATTTATACTACATAATACATCAATGCTTATCTATCACACTGAAGTACTACACACCTTTTGTGCTACAATAGATTTCTTTACACTTCTACAGCTCTTCCAGTGTCGGGTTCCCAAAGAACTCTCTAAAGCGAGCACCCTGCCTTTTACAAGGGGAAAGATACATGAAGGAACTTGCCCAGTGGGAAGAAAAATAAATCCAGACTTTCCAGTTCCCAAAGTATCTTTCTACAGTTCTACCGTAGTTGTGATTAAGCCATGATATATCTCAAATACTCAACACGTTACTGGAAATGTGAAGCTTTTTCCAAGCCAATACAACAAAGTAAGATGAGGTTAGTAAGGAGAATGTCAATGGGAATGTCTCTATTCAGACACCCACTGAGCCATCAAACATCAAACAGCCATTGCAAATTCATCCACACTCCACAAGCTGTGATTCAACACAAGGGAATAATGAAATTCAAGAAAATCCTTTTCATAAGGTTTTATTAAAGACAGGCACTTGTGTATAGCATGTCTGCCGTTTCTACTCTGACTTCAAGATCTGCCCTTCAAATGCTGAGCATTTTAAAATTATAGAAACCTTGTCCAGATTTTCCCAGAAATTTGTATTCATCCACTTCAGCTGCCATACAGGACCACAAAGACAGAAAAATTAAAACTTCACCATTTTAAATATTATTCTGTGTCACATAATATTACTTGTAAGGCTGAATGAAGCAAGATTTTTGAAGAAATTTTATTTAGTGTAACTTAATGTATAAGACATCCAAACATCTTTTTTTTATTCTAGGCAGTAAAATTTATTTTTTTAACTTCTGGCTTCTTTTCAGAAAGTGAAAAACAATAGTATATTGTAAATACTTTCTGATACAACTCATACAAACTTCTTCAAATTGAGGGGTTTTTTAGCCATTTCCAAAACCTGTCCAAGTATTTTAAAGTTGTCATTTCTGTAGCTAAGTTTTAGCACTTGTCACCTACAAGCCATTGTCAGACTTATTCAGGACTAATATTTGCAGAGTCAGCAAAAAGACTTATCAAAATGCACAGCTGCTTTTACTCACTGGTGCTTCAGACATAAGGACAGGATGCAAACTTGCTTCAGATTTAATATGCATCTTGTAAGTGTGATCCAAAATTGCCTGGAAACTATCCCAATCTTCAACTGTAACAACATTGAGACAAACAGATTAATTACTTCTAAGTCTTGTTCCATTTCATAAACACATAAAGGCTTTCCAATTTATTTTTTTGCATAGAGCTCTTCAGTTAAAAGCTGTCCTCAGCAGATACACATCTCCTCTAACAGCTCTGCAGAATTCTTTTCCTCCACAACCACCATGACTTCAACAATCACGCTAAAAGTCCACTAACAGTGAAAACCAACCACATCTCCATGCAACTTGTAAACCAGGAATCTGTTCTTATTGCCTGTTGCTGTACTAGCATCTGTCAACACGACTATGACTTCCTGCAGCCTGGCAATACTATTTTAAAATCAGGTAGAAAAAGACAGAGCACCATACTCATTCCATTTTTTAAAGGTGAAATGGCTTCCATATTCTCCCTTGGAACTCTCAGGGCATTAGTGTCTATGTAGTAAGTCGGGCCCCCTTGTTTGCCTTTGTCACCATCTATCTCCATCAGAGTGCTGCCATTGTCCCTTTCTAGCACCACACCAATAGCTGTTGGAAAATCAACCTGCAAGGCAAGAGGCAAGCAGTACATAAGGATTAGTAATGTTTTGGAAGTTGGTGTTTTTCTCATAAAATCAGAAGTTTCTTTATACAATACAGTCAGAACAATGTATTCACAAGGGTTGTAACTTTCAAAGAAGACCTAAGGCATAAATTCATGTTGAATTTCCACCGAGGAACAGATTCTCTCACCTTTGGGCAGTCCTCGCCTGCATAGCCTGCTCTCACTGTGTACGAGCCAATGTCAAAAACCAGAGCCCCAACTTCATCTGAAAAGATTGTTAATAAAGAATGGTTATTAAGCTCTTCTGCAACCCTGACCTTTCTCTGCCCACTGCCTGCTTTACCGGCAGAGAAGCAAATCAAGGGATCTTTTACAAAACAAGGAGAAACTTCTCTACTCGGAACTCCCGCCACCAGAGAGCTATAGGAAAACTGCAGACAGGCTTTAACTGGGGCACAGCAATCTCTCCGTTTGGTGTATAAAGGAGAATTTGAGCAGGAGAGGGAAAACGTAGTAGCAGCTAAACGCATCGCAAGATAAAGCTTTCAAAAAGTTCTAAGTTAACAGTCACACGAAGGCAGGCGAGCCCAGAGTCCCCGGGGGTGATGAGGATGAGGAAGGTGGGACTGTGTGACTGTGTGAGGGAAGGGGTCAGAGCATGAAGCTCCGATCTCTACGGGCCCGATCCCCGCTGATCTGTGCACATCCTAAAGGAAACCTGTCGGAAATGAACAGGGGTGTGCAGAGGGGCTCGGGGGAACCACACCCGGCTCCCAAAGCGCGGGGACCTTCTCCGGACCTCGGTACCGCGGATCCTGCCCAAGGCCGCGGCGCGAGCAGTGCCCGGCGGAGGCACCTCGGGGCCGCGAAGGACATAAACAAGGCCCGCCGCTTCCTCCTCCTCCTCCTCACTCGTGGGACGCGGAGGGGCCGCGGCAGCGCCGGGCCGGGCTGAGGGAGGCGGGAAGCGCCCGCCGGGGCTGCACGCGCCGCCTCGCGGGGCGGGGGAGGGGAGGGCGGCGCCGGACTCACCTCCCCCGTACACGCCGCCGCTCATGGCTGCCGCTGGGCCCGGCCCCGCCGTCCGCCGTGCCCGCGCCGCGCCGCCCGGCCCCGCTCCCCGCCGGCCCCGGTGTCCGTGGGCCTCGCGCTCCCCGCCCGCTCCTCTCGCCGCCGACCCAGCAACAAAAGCGCCCCGGCCACGCTCCCCGCCCGCGGCGCGGCCCGACCCGCAGCGCCGTCGCCCGCCCGCCAATGGCAGCGCCGCGCGGGCAGAACCGGCCAATCATGGCCGGTGGGAGGCGGGGCCTTGCAGCGAACAGCCAATCCTGAAGTGGGACGCGGAGGGCGGGCAGGCGAGGCAGTGCAGGGCGGGGGGGCGGTGTGAGGGGGGCGGCGGCGGCGGCGGGAGGGGACAGGACGGGACGGGACGGGACGGGACGGGACGGGACGGGACGGGGTGAGGGCAGAGGATGTGGGGGGTGAGAGGAGCGGGGCAGGTGGGGTGGAGAACGTGAGAGGGTTCACAGAACGGTTCAGGCGGGAAGGGACCACAGTGGATCCTCTGGTCGCACTTCCTAGCGCCGGCAGGGTCGTCCCGGAGCACGTGGCACAGGATTGCGTCCAGAGGGTTCTGGGGTATCTCCAGTAAGGGCGACTCCACATCTTCTATGTCCATTCTAGTGACCGGTCATTGCACAGGAAAGTTCTCTCTATTGAAACAGGAACTTCCTGTACATCAGTTTTTGCCCGTTGTCTCTTGTTCTATTGCTCAGCACCACGAGAAGGGCCTGATCCATCCTCTGACACCTCCTTGCAGATATTGTTGAGGTCACCTCTCCCCGCGGCTGAAGAAGCTCCATCCCCTTTCCTCATAAAACACTCCAGTCCCTTAGTCATCCTTGTTGCCCTCCGCTGGACTGGATCCAGGATTTCCATGTCGTCTTACATTGAGGAGCCTAGAGCTGGACATGGAGAAAGCTGCTGGGTTTGCTGGAGTGGGGAGAGGTGGCTTGTGAATCCTGAGGGCTCCAAGATGAGCTTTCTGCCACATGAGGAGCGGGATGACTCCAGACCATCAGGACTGTGGAAAGGAGCCGCTGCTCCTGGGCCCTCCCCAGGTACCTGGCAGGAGGCTGTGTCCAGGTGAGATCAGGCTCTTCTGGACAACCAGCAACAGGGCAGGGCACAGGTTGGACTCTATGATCTCAGAGATCTTTTCCAACCTAACTGAGTCTGTGATTCCCCTGCTGCTGTCACTGCTCTGTTGGGCTCTTGCACTGAGAATAAAAAGCTTTTGAAGCCTATATTATAGCCCCACGTCGTGTGGTTCCTTTCTTGCTTGGGGCAGAGCCCGTGGTCCCCAAGGCTGGTGTGTCTGCAGAGCTGGGCAGTTCAGCTGCCAGTTTTACAGCTGAACTTCTCTTTAGGATTTCACATCGCCTTGTTTGGTGTCAGAGCACTCAGCCAAACGTGGTGTTCAGCCAGAACAGCCAGAGATGGGTAACTATAAACTGTAGGAATTAAAGAAAACAAAAAAAGACCTGAGGCCTATCCAGCAGTTAGCATTGGAGAAGACTAAAATTTTAACTGGAGGACAGGGGAATTGGCTTAAAGGGCAAGTGTTCCTGGTGTTCACCTTTTTGAATTTTTACTGGAGGTGTGTTTTTTGGAGGGGATGGGAAGCCGTGGGTTTTTTCAAGTTTACATAAGATATGTAGCTTATTTTCGTAATACTGTAGCAAGGCTCTTCAAGTGATTAGGTTTAGCCTGCTTAATAGAATATTTTATTTATTACATTTACATTTTACTATAAAGCTTGGATAGCATAATGAGCAATCTTAATAATTATTTGAATGTAAATGATTAAAGAAGTGTTTATTATATTTTCACCATAAAACGAAAATGAATGGTGTGAGCTCACTTCGTCTTCCTTGAATAGAGAGTTCAGAACTTCCTACAAAACTTTGAGGTTTTTTCCTAACTTGTGACTTAAGTTTCAAGTTATACCTCCCTGCTTACACTGAATTTAATCAGGGAGGTAAGAAGAGAGATAAAACTGACATTTGGTGCCCAGTAGTTCTGTTCTGGAAGCTGAATAAATAAACTTGGTAAAGCTGTTGAGAATCGAATGAATCACTACAAATCTCAGCAACCTTTATGCTGGTGAAGAGGAAAAGCAGCCTAGATGTGTGTTTGTACTGCAGCTCCCAAGATGCTGCAGCTAACGTTGGGCTGGTGAGCAGCAATCCCCCTTTAAGGGGGAGGGTGTCAAAACATAGGAAAAGTAGTTTCCAAAAAAATCCAGCAGTTCCAAACCACTTGAGTGTGGTTTTTAAAGCACAATTATGACAGTACAAGGAGCTGATTTGATTTACTAACTCTCAAGGGCAAGGAACTTAATTTGACACACAATTTGAGTCTCTGTTTCTTTAAGAAGCAAACTTCATAATTTTATCATGCAATTAAGAAATTCTTTTATAATTTATAGTCTAGTACATCTACAACACATAGATGCTAGCATTAGAAAGATAAATCCTGCTGCTTCATTAACTATACATCATAAAGCCAGTGCACCTTCATTTTGTGTTATGAAATATTTTCAGGTCAGTATGTTTTCATGATTTCCAGTATGTGGCACTAATACTCAAGGCAGAGTTCTTTGAGGAGGAGGAATTAGTTGCAGATGGGAAAAGTGGTTCAGAAAATTTGGAGTTAGCATGCCAGAGGTTCTTAATTTTGCTCCTTCTTGTACTTTATTTTGCAGTGATGATTGCTTGTGTTCATGTGGTGACACTTTAAGCCAGATCCAGCTCCCTGTACAACAACTGCTTGTGACTGATCTGCAAGCCAGAAACTAACACAACATTCTGCTCCTTTAGTTTTCCTTAATATTTCTTCCACACAAGAACATGCCCTGGAAATCATGTTGGTATCTAGAACCCTCAGGATTTGATAGCCATAAGAAACCAAGCCAAATCCATGCAATTAACAAGAAGTCAGGAGTATAAGAGGAAGGAAATATAGACTGACAACTCCCTAGGTCCTGCTTTTGTCTTACTTGTACTGTTCCAGGTGTTTACATCAGTGGAGAGTGTGCAGAACGTCGTTGCTGTGGTTTGACAAGGTTCTGCAGTGACTTTGCTGTGCAGCAGGTGGATAACCCTGCACTGTTCCATGCACAAGAGAAATAGACTCGAGGCATCTGTTTTCAGCAGAGTCCAGCCTGACTTACAGAGTTGCGAATTTCAGATTATTTCAGTGAACTCCTGCACATCATCCTATGTTTGCATAGGAGCAGGTGAAATCTGTATTTTTGCTACCACTTTCCATAATGAACTCAAATACTTGGGGATCTTTTTATAATTTTTGCTTAGTTTCATATAAAATCAAGGTAGATAGGAACAATAGCTGTATTTTATCTAGGTTCCCATATTGGTGCAAATGGCCATAATATCTTGGCAGGAATTGTGGTTGCAGGTGTAGCACAAATCATGTGCTTTTCATGGGAGTATCACATACTGATTTACTGTATGTGACATTATATAGTAGCTCTAGAGGCAGACACTGGCATAAATTGTCCATGGGAATAAAGAGAAAAATCATTTAAAAGTGGGGCATGAACCAAGACATCAAATGATGATGCTAACTCATACCCAAAAATTAATCCCATCAGTGATAATCTGGAGAAATAAAAGTTTCCTAATTGCTTTGAGATTTTTAAGACTTCATTTTTTCAAGCAAGTGCCTTCACCTTTTTGTTAACATGAAGCAATGTAGAAAGTAATGTACATGTCAAGCCAAAGCTGAACAGAATGATTTTTTGTTTCTCAACAAGCTGCACTTCCCCATGGGGTGGCTGATGGCCTGTTGCTTTTGAGCTGTGCCATACAACTGCCAGCCAGTCTCCCAGACTGCAGTGCCAGCAGACTGGCTGTGACAATGGCTTATTCATCATGTCTGCGTTCCTCCTTGTTTCTTGATTGCAAAATGCATGTTAAAGGTTTTATTTTTCCTATTTTCAGATGAGGTTTAAATGTTAATGTGAACTAGGAAAGCATCTCTCAATGAAAAAGCAAAATAATCATTAGTACTTATTCACTCAAGAACTTTGTATGACCTCTCAGCTTTCCACTTCCTTTGCTAAAGCACTTGGGTGCTTTGTCAATTTAAATACTTCCCTTCCTCACAGGGATGCTGAGTATTAATGTGCTATCATTCTCCTTCTGCAGAAAATGAGCAACAACAGAAGTTAAATGCTGCGCTTCACTAAGGAGCCTCAACATTGGCACAATGACTTTTAGGTTCTTATCTCATACTTGAAGTCCAAGCACTGAATTCTGTTTCATATAAAATGTACTAAAGACAGACACACCTTAAACCTGGATAACCAGAGAGGCTGTTTGGTCTTGGCAGTTGAAAATTCTGAGGAAAGGAGATGTGTCTGCAATCTCTCTGTGACTCCAGCAAGGCAGTCCTCAGGCTGTATGTTCCAGAATCTTCTTTTGGTGCTGGTGTCTGCAAAAGACCCATGACTCACTCTTATTGTAGAACATGACTGAAGGAAGAGGTGATGGTGCTTGCCATTAATACACAGTCAACTTTCCCTCACTAGTGCCTGACTAGATTTCAGAGAGCATGCTGAGATTCCATCTGACTGACTGGAATAATAATGACTAGGATATGTGGGAGAATAGGGGGGAAAACCATGTAATAGCATAACTGCTTTATAATTCTGTACTGTAAGTG